GTGCGGGGACCTGGAGATCATTCTGCTGATCAAACTAAGTCGAACTCAGAAAGATGAATACTGCATGTCGAGAGGTGACATAAGACCATAAGACCAGAGAGGACCATAGGTGATGATGAAGATGATCAAAGTGCAGTGTTAAACATCTATGAAATCGACTGTTTTTGTACAAATATTACATACTCTAAAAGGGGGGTGGTGGTGGTGGTGGAGTGGGAAGACGTGAATCAGAGTCTCTGAGACTGTTTTTGTCTCCCTGGTGAGAGAATGATGAGGAAGCCATACAACAGTGAAACGAACTGTGGGAGGCGGGACCAGTAGCAGTGGATAGGAGGGGTGCTGGACAGAGAGGAGCCACCGTGACTGTATTTTAACAAGTTTGTATTTTATAGCGAGTCATGTATTCCTAGGAACGATTTCTAGTGGTGCTTCCTCCACTGGAAAATGAGGCACCTAAAGTTGACCTGCGCCCCCCCATCCCACCCCCCCAGCCTGCTGTGTCTTCTCCAGGGGTCTTGTGAGTGGCAGCCTGTCTGGCGGTAACACATAGGGGTGTGTTGGCTCCTGTCTCTCTCTCTCTTCATAGTCACTGTCTTCAGCCTGCAAATAATATCTTAATCTTGGCCTCAGTGACTGTTTTAGATGCCTCAGAACCCATCACACCTTTGGCTAAAGAAACTCCATTTCATGCTAGGCATCATCTTGGTACCCACTAGCCATCGTCTCTGACTCTAGTCCCTGGAAGATAAGTTACTAGTAGCCCTGACTCAGTAACCCCCATCCAGAAATGTACAACCATTACTATCTACATGCTATGATATGACAAGCTGCTTTTTTTTACTTCTGCGACCTGCTCATGCAAACATTCAAGGACTATTTTGAGGCCTCTTGACCACTTAAGCTTGACAAAGTGGAACAGCTCTTATCTTTCTTGTGCAGATACTCATAGTTTTCACCTTTAAAGACCCCTCCCTCACCCTCACCTTGTGCCGTAATCTCAAATTCAGCTCAGAGATGGCTGTCCTGCTAGCAGCAGCTTTAACGAATTTAGCTAACTATAATCCTGATTGAGTCTGTGGTCTTTTTCTACGGTACCAAACCCCATACTACTACTAATATATATGCCAAATACTACTACTACTACTGCTAAATACTATTACTAATACTACTGCCAAATACTACTAGTAGTAATAATAATAATAATAATAATGCTAAATACTACTACCACTACCTATAACAAAGCTAACTACCACTACTAATGCTAACTACTGCCACTATTAATAATAATGCTAAATAAATTCCTTGATAGAGATCAAAATGGCAACAGCTCCAAACCATTGAGATAAGAATAAGAAAGTTTCAGAGAAACCCTGTCAGGAAAAAAAAAGTTAAATAATAGTTTGATTTTCCTCCTAACTTCTATCTTGATGTTATTTTTAAGGAAATGGTAATATCTTGATTTTTTAAATGTTTTTCCTTTGGAGAGGAGAGCGCCCCCAACCTGTTGCTGGTGCTCAGTATGCAAGGGCAGGGCAATAGGTTTGACAGGAGACTGAATCTGCTTTCTATAGTTCAAAAAGATGAAACCTGTAGCCTACTTAAAAAAGCAAACATTTACTGCGCTGGAGAGACGGCTCGGTGGCTAAAGGGGCACTTGTTGCTCTTGTAGAGGGCCTGGGTTCCATTCCCAGCTTACATAATAACTTTCAACTGTCTGTAACTCCAGGAGATTCTGACACCCTCTTCTGATCTCTGAAGGCACTGCAAATACGCAGCGCACACACATACATGCAAGCAAAACATTTATATGCTTTAAGATAAAGCAAAAATCCTTTATTTAGGGTATGTGTGTGCACACGTGTGTGCCATGACACACATATAGTAGTCAGAGGACAACTTGCGGAGTAGCTTGTCTCCTTCTACTGTGTGGGTTCCAGGTAACCAACTGCGGTGCACAAGCACCTTTGCCCTCTGACCTGTTTCACTGCCCTGTGGTCTACTTTTGTCTCTCTAGCAACCTGTATTCACTACGCAGGAAAAATGATGAGAAATATGATTTTTTTTTGCAATCAAAAGTGAAGTCCATGAAAAAGAGTTGTACTATGATGGTTGAGCCACACAATCAACCTAGACACCCACACACCACTCTAAACTGTGACTGTCATAGGAAATACTCAGAATTCCGACCTAAGGAGAAAGTAACGAGAAATGAGAGAAACCACACAGTCTGTTGTAAATAAGGACCTAACTTTACTTAAGGTAGATAATAACACCTTACAGATCAGGAACCCAAAGGCCACTAAGCATTCACAGCACACGGAATTTGCGTATGCATATGTTATGAAATATAAGATCCAGAACTTTAACAGAAACATTTTTTTTGCATCTTTAGAGTAAATTTACCTACTAGAGTAGAAGACAGAAGATGGTCAGTTAGTCTTAATGATAAACCCTTGGTGAATCATCAATAGTAAAAGGTCTAAGCTGGATGTAGAAATGAGGCACAGTGGTTCATCCTTGCACTCAGGAGGCTGAGGAAGGCAGAGCCTGAGAGACCTGTTGTGGAATATCAGGTTAAGATGTGTTACATTTATTTATGCTGTGGAATATTTGTTTGATGATGCAAAGATGTATTGCATTCTTTTTTTTAAGATTTATTTATTTATCACATATACATACCAGAAGAGGGCACCAGATTGAATTGTAGATGGCTATGAGCCACCATGTGGGTGCTGGGAATTGAACTCAGGACCTCTGGAAGAGCAGTCAGTGCTCTTAACCTCTGAGCTATCTCTCCAGCCCCATGTTGCATTCTTTTATGTTGCATTTGTTTAACTCTGTGAAACAGTGTTACTTTGCCTGTCTAAAATGCCTGATTAGTCTAATAAAGAGCTGAACGGCCAATAGCAAGGCAGGAAAAGGGATAAGTGGGGCTGGCAGGCAGAGAGAATAAACAGGAAAAATCTGCCAAGAGAGATCCGGGACTGAGAAAAAGAGGACAGGAGTATGCCAGGGGCCAGCCACGCAGCCACGTGGCCAGGATGGATTAAGAAGGAAATAAAAGACATGCAGAAATAGTGAAAGATAAAAGCCAGAGGCAAAAGGTAGATGGGATAATTTCAGTTAGGAAAAACTGGGTAGAAATAAGCCAAGCTAAGGCTGGGCATTCATAAGTAAGAATAAGACTCCATGTGTGACTATTTGGGAGCTGGGTGGCAGGCCCCCCAAAGTGTTAAAGAGAGAGAGAGACAGCGGGGGGGGGGACCCAACAACAGAGATCAGTCTAGGGTATATGCAAGAACTGGGGTAGGAGGAGAGGCAGGAGGGTCAGAGTTCAAGAACAGCCTTGGCTATCTAGGAAGAGAACAGTCTGGGCTACATGAAACCCTGTAGTAAAAGTTAGTACTTCTGCTTACTAATTATGTTACCTTTTATGGTTGACTGATATTCTCTGTACATCAGTTTCTTTGTGCCAAGAGTAGAGCTACTAATTGTATCAATCACTTCAACATAAAGTACACGCAGAGTAAGTACTCAATAAATGACTGTTACTACTATCTGGCCAAAATGTTCTTATGTGTGTGCATGTGTGTCTTAAGGAATATGTCAACTACCATTTTGGAGAGTGACTGGAACTTAGATCACTGTCTACTGGGATTTTCTTCTGATGTGGAGAACTGGTTACAGTGAACTGTGACATGCCATACAGACTCTAAAGTAGTTTAATTTTTCTTCTACTTCCTATTTTTTTTTCCAGACAGGGTTTCTCTGTATTGTTTTGGAGCCTGTCCTGGAACTCGCTCTGTAGACCATGCTGGTCTCAAACTCACAGAGATCTGCCTGCCTCTACCTCCTGAGTGCTGGGATTAAAGGTGTGCGCCACCAACGCCTGGCATTTAATTCTTCTTTACTCACATCCAGGGAAAGGATTAGAAAGACTGTAAGAGAAATAACATAGATTGGTGGGATTCAGTCAAAAGATTAAAAAACAAGACTTCGGAAAAACCAAAAACCAAACCAAAACCAAACAAAAAAACCCAAAACAAAAAAAAAACCCAAAAATCAAACAAAAAAACCCTACTACATTTCAGGTAACACTTAAACTAAGGCCAGGTTATTTACCTGTTAAATTTTGAAACAGAACAGATTCAAAAAGCACAACATAACATGTGGGGGAAAAATGTGAAAAACAGGTTGCACATCTGTGACAGGGCAAGTGTACTCGTTAGGGCAGGTTCCAAGGATCAGTGAAGACCAGAGCCACAAGAAAGGCCTGGCCAGAGTCTAACCAATACGTGTTGGGGTAACAAACTGTTTGCCGAATGAATGCCAAAATCTCCAGTTCGCTTGGGTCAATGATTTGAGGAGCATATCTTTTCATACGTGCATCCCTCTGTTGAGATACTAGCAACCCGAATAAGGCAACAAACACATATTAAGCACCACTGTCTACTAGGCTCTGTGTCTTGAACAGTAAGACTCTTCTTGTTCTACTTATCAAAAGTTGCCTGACCTCCTGGACACATTTCTGTGGGTAGGGAGGGACGTTTGTTTTTTTCCAGTCAATTCTGTTTTTTTTTTTTTTTTTTTGGTTTTTACGAGACAGGGTTTCTCTGTATTGTTTTGGAGGCTGTCGGTCCAGCCCGGCCTTGAACTCACAGAGATCCGCCTGCCTCTGCCTCCCGAGTGCTGGGATTAAAGGCGTGCGCCACCACTGCCCGGCGTCAATTCTGTTTTTAAACTTCCCGTTTGCACAAAGGTTTCACTTTCCCATTTACACAAAGGCCTTACTTGTCCAAGCAGAGATTAAAAACCAAACAACTAATGTACTACTAGAGATGGCCATGGACAGGATCACAGGTCTTGGGATAGAACTTAGTGGCCTTGGGTTAAAGTCCCAACACCAAAACCAAACCAACAAAATCAACAACAACAACAACAAAAAAAAAACCCAAAAAGAACAACAACAACCCCCCCCAAACAAACAAACAAAACCAGGCAAGCAGCATGTATCTTTAATCCCAGCACTCAGGAGACTGAAGCAGGCAGATTTAAATTCAAGACCAATCTGGCCCACGAAGCGAATTCAAGAGGTACATAGAGAGACCCTGTCTCAAGCAAAACTAATGACAAGAGAGGTTCAGTTAGTTGCCAATGGTTCAAGGGAAAGATACAGAAGATGATTTCATGCTAGTCAGCAACCCAAGAATGAGATCAGATTTCCTCAGCAACATTTGAAATCCTCTGTCTTTATCTTTTCTAAAACTTTTCTCTGTGTGTCTCTCTGTATGTGTGCACTCACATGTGCACATGTGTGTATAGGTGCATAGGGGAGGTCAGAGGGTGATGTTAGATGTCTTTATTTCTGTCTACCCAATATCTGTTTCCTTTGCTTTGAGACAGAGTCTCACTATGTAGACCAGACTGACCTAGAACTCACAGAGATTGCCTGCCTCTGCCTCCCGAGTACTGGCATTAAAGGCGTGTGCCACCATGCCTCATCCGATTTCTTGGGACAAGGTCTCTCAGTGAACCTGGAGCTCATGGTTTTCCTTTTGGCTAGACTAACTAGTCAGTAGGCTCTAAGAATCCTCCTGTCTCCACTCACCCGTTCTAAGATTACAAGCATATGCCATCACACCAACTTTTACATGGCTGCTACAGATCTGAGCTCATGTTTTTACACTTTACAGATGGTCCCCCCCAGCCCATACCCTTTATATTTTGTCTTCCATGAAAGAGTAACACTCTAGAAATGACTGGCAAGCAGACTTCTGCTTTTATAGAAACTACATCTACTTAACATGGAAAATGCTACAGTTTTTCTACAAAAAGATTTAGGCCTGTGCTAATATACACACTTCTTTTGAAAGTGGATAGATCTTCCCAGCACTTTCATTACTCAATTCCTTTTGCTTTCAGCTCCTCCTTGACACGTTTCAGGTAATCAGGATCAGGGTAGCCAAAACTGCATGAAGAAAAAAGTATCTTGTTAGCTTCCTCCCAAATAATTCTTAAGGATCTATACTGTAGCCAGGTATGTTGGCACACGCCTTTAATCCCAGCAGTCGGATGGCAACAGCAATCAGATCTCTGTGAGTCTGAGGCCAGCCTGGGCCACACAGTGAGACCCTGTCTCAAAACAACAAAACCTACACAATTTGCATTTGAGCATCTAGTATTCTGGGTTTCAATATCCACAGGCAGTCCAGATTTAAGGGCTGACTGGCCAGCATCTGTTTTCTAGCCAGATTGCTTAAAGTCTTAGCTTATTCTAAGTACTGATGCACATAATATTATAAATGCCAAATTCTATAGAGAAGGTAATCATAAGATAGTACGATTTTCAAATTAGGGAACTTGAAAAGGTCTCAGGATATATTTCTTTTGGATGCCATGAGTAGAGGAATTCTGAGTTTTATAATTCAGATTTCCTGGAATACATATCCCCCACACACACACATCTTAGGATACTTTGTAACTAAGACTCTTTTCTGCGATGTATCAGTCACCTGAGTTCAGCATCTTTGTGAATGGATGAGAAAACAGGGGTCATGGAGAATAAGATGAATTTAAAAGAAATCAAGGCAGGACTGGAGAGATGGCTCAGCGGTTGAGAGCACTGACTGCTCTTCCAGAAGACGGGGTTCAATTCCCAACACCCCCACGGCAGCTCACATCTGTCTGTAATTTCAGGGGATCTGACACCCTCATACAAACATAAATGCAGGCAAAACACATAAAATAAATAAACCTAGAAAAAAAGAAGTCAAAACAGATAACTTTCCTAGGATCTACCTTTCAAATCAACAGGAAACCCTGAATTAAGTCAACTTGGGTACCATTCATCTAGGATTCTGAAACCCCTGTCTTTTGTTGTAATTTTGTTGTTGTTGTTGAGTCAAGGTTTCTCTATTTAGCCCTGATTGTCCTGAAATTCTCTCTGTAGACCAGGCTGTCTTTGAACTCAGAGATCCACCTGCCTCTGCCTCCTAAATACTGGGATTAAAGGCATGCACCACCACCGCCACCCAGCTTTGATGCAAAATTTAATACCTAAGTTATACCTTATGAATGGCAAAGTACAAGATTGAAGGAACCATTTTTTTTCTTCAAGACAGTGTTTCTCTGCTGTCCTGGTATTCCCGGTAGACTAGGCTGGCCCAAACTCAGAGATCTGCCTGCCTCTGCCTTTCAAATTCATGCTCCACCACTGCCTGGCTTGGATCAATTTTTTGTCTTTGAAATTGTCATTATGGATTAGCATTTTGCTGTGTGTGTTGGCTAGTTCTAGGTCAACTTGACACAAGTTGTAGTCAGTCCAGGGAACCTCAATTGAGAAACTGCCTCCTGGAATGGTGTGGCACACAACTTTAATTTTAGAACAGAGGCAGGCTGGCCTGGTCGACAGAGTGAGTTCCAGGACAGCCAGTATTACACAGAGAAGTTGTCTCCATAACATTGGGCTGTTGGCAAGTCTTTAAAGCATTTTCTTAATTAGTGATTGATGTGGTGCGTGGTGGTGGTGGGACAGACCATTGTCAGGGGTGTTACCCCTGGGCTGGTGGTCCTTGGTGGCTATAAGAAAGCAGGCTGAGTAAGTCATGGGAAGCAAAGCCAGTAAGCAGCATCCCTCCATGGCCTCTGCATCAGTTCCTGCCTCCAGGTTCCTGTCTCCAGGTTCCTGTCTGGTTTGAGTTTCTGCCTTGTCTTCCCTCACTGACTGTGATTCAGGAGATTGTCTTTTCACACCCACAGCTTCAAAAGGCAGCATTCAACAACCCTATACTTTGCTTAGCAACCATAGCATTTCAAAAGGCTCTTACTGTTCTGGTCCTCCAAATGTGGATGTTTTGTGATGGATATCATTCCATGTAATGACGTCTGAGGCTCCTGTTGCTCGAGAGTTCCCTATTGTGAAAATCAGCTTCTTTTGAAAGGCTTCTCGGAGCAGATTCAAGACCTCTCTTCCCTCCTTATTATCAGGCAAGTATGCAGTTCGATGTGTTCCAGGATAGGACTTTCCTGGGTTTGGGTGCTCATTCTGTATGAAGAAAAAATAGTATTATATAGAAACTAAAGCTGTGTTCATTGCAGGTGAAGCCTATTGAAAGCCAAAAAACTAAACAAATAAATAAAGATACTGCTTTGATCATATTCTGAATAATTCACAGTTCTCTTCAAACTACAATACTACCTACCAGACTCCTCCCATTCTAACATATGATCTCTACCTTTAAAAAAAGACATGAAAGGCGAGAGGGGTAGTTCAGAGCACTTGCTTGGCATGAACAGGTTCTGGGGTTCAGTCCCTAACACTGTCAAAAGAGTTTCAAAGGCATGTAAGTTCTAAGCAAACAATATGACCTTTGCCTCTGTCTATTATGTCCCTGCCAGCAATCACAGAATGGTTTCCTGGGAAAATCATCATCTCAAAGGCTACAGGACAGTCCCTTGGGCACTGGTAATTCTAGCATAGCAAAAAGAAACACTCTTCAGGCACACTTACTGTTTGGATGCCACCTTTTATATCATAGTGAATCACAATCGTGCCACAGCCTTCATAACCTGGAAGTGACTGTCTTAAAGTGTCATAAGTCATGTTTCCTCCATCTGGCTGGTTCCCTCTCTGGATACCATAGGAAGTCTGACACACAGGACAGACAGGCTTCAATGACATAGCTTTGGTGATGCAAGCAGTGCAGAATTCATGCTTGCACTTAGACAGCACACGCTTGTTGCTAATGGTATCCATGCAGATGACACAGTAGTCTTCCTTCTCCTTCACCTTCAAGGCCCCAGAGCTATCAGCAGAGCCTCTGAGAGGAGGTAAAGCCGCATTTGAGTCATTTCCGTCGATATCCATGGGTGTTTCATCATCCACATTTAATTTCTCTCCAGACCATGGGGACAGTCCCATTCTTTTGAAGACATAGTGCTTTGCCTGTGCAAGCTGAATTGGCAAACCAATCAAAGTCATTGACTCTCGAGATATCACAAAGTGTACATTTGGGTGACTTTTCTTTAAGTCATCGACAAACTTGGTCTTGTGTAAGTGAGCTTTCTCCTTTCCCAAATATTTCAGTGACAGGACTTCTGTTCTTAGCTGGCACATGGCATGTTGGAAGGCATCAGTGAAACTTGCATAAGAGTGCATGGACAGGTCAACCTCCTTATCCTTGGGGTCAAATAGAATGCCAGTTTTCTGGCTTTTCTCGCTGACTTTTCCCAAAGTATTATACCTGCTCTCTATCTCTGAGATTTCCTGGAGCAATTTAGGTTTTAGAAGGTTGAAGTGTGTGGAGTCAACCTCAATCCCTGTCTTGTAACCAGACACCATTATTTTCACAGGCGTCTTGAGGGAAGTTTGGGAGACTTTTTCTGTGGCAGCCGAAATGTCAGCTAGAGAGCCTAGGAGAGTTAGCTTTCTTCCTTGTTCCTTTATCAAGAGGTTTGGGAAGCAGCGATTCAACTCTAGTCCGAGTTCCTTTGCTGTCTGAGGGTCCTCTAAAGAGATACAATCTTGCTTCAGAGCTTGGGTGCATTTCTGAAAGTCTCTGACAAAAGACTCACTGGCTGCTTCTATGTTGCCTGATTGGCTGGTGGTGAAGGCTACAGAGACCATATTGGGAGCACTATCTTGGACTTCAATGTTTACTCCAAATTCTTTCTCTATGGATTCTATTCTACCAGGACAAGCATGTCTGAAATATTCATGGAAAAGCACGGGAATTTCAAAAACATCTTTTAATATGGATTTTGGTTCCGAGGAGGTAAAGCCCCTGCCCAAGTCTTCCTGGTTGGGAGGCTCTCTCTCCACTTTGGAAGCGAGATATTTTTGTGGAGGGTACTTCTGTTTCTGCTCACTTTCCAAAAGCTGCACACTCAAGAAGTGATGTATCTTCTCAATGTCTTTGAAGTTGCCACACACTTTCTCAATTCCGTCAGTACCCTCCACGCTTCTGACGCCAGGGCAGATGGCGGCTATGCGTGCCCTCTGCTCTTTAGAAAGCACCTCACAGTTCAGTTCAGCGGTCACAGCAAGAAAGACCTGAAAGTTTAAAGGCACGGGTGCAAATTAAGATCTCTAGGATATCGACCCCTCTTCAGGAACTACACAAACGATTACGATCTTATTTTCTTTTTTCTTAGCAGGGGCTGACTCCTTTATATCCGCCAAGAGGAGCAGTCTGCTACAAGCCGGGCTAGTCAGCCCCATTTGCACACTAGACTCACCCTGGGGAGATTAAAGGTGAATTAAACAAAGAAGGCCAAGGCCAGGGCTCATGGCAGGGGCTCATATAACTGCTTCCCAGTGAAGCCTGCCTGGGCACCAACATTTTCTAAAACTCTGGCTAAAAGAGCTACATCTAGAGTTATCATTATCTGCTTGACTGGCCACTAAGAGAAGAGAGAAGACATCCCTACTTTCCAAGAAGTTGCTGTGGTTATCAAGAAAGAGTTTGGGAGCTTCAAAGGTGGCTCTAAATCCAAGAAGGATTCTCACCCCCACCCCAGTCAATATGCTTTTTTTCTTTCTTACTTTCTTGCTTTAAGAAAACCCTAGCTGTGTGTTGTTGGCACAGCACACCTTTAATCCCAGCACTCGGGAGACAGAGGCAGGTGGATCTCTGTGAGTTCTACAGAGTGAGTTCCAGGGCAGGCTCCAAAACAATACAGAGAAACCCTGTCTCAAAAAACCAAAAAAAAAAAAAAAAAAAAAAAAAAGGAAACCCTAAAGTATGAAACACTTAACTCTTGCAAAGTTGCTAAGTCCTTCTAAGCCTTGATTTTTTAGGTCAGCAATGCAATAGAAATTCCAGATTTGGATAAGAAGGCTATAGGCAAACTGAATAACTGAATGTAATGTAAAAGCACAATATCTAATGATTTGTTCCTACTCGAGGTTTTTGCAGATGATCCTTAATCCACATGGAAGATTCTTTCTCTAGGCTAGAGCATCAAGATATTTCCAAGATCCAGCCTCTTTGTCACTCCTCTATCAGGACCATCTAGAATCCAGGTCATTGTCATCATCTACCTGGCCCACTGCAGCCTCTGACCTTGCAGCCTGGCCCCTTCCTGTGCCAGCAGCCAGACTGATCCTTTACAAATGCAACCTAGAGGCTGGAGCGATGACTCTGTTTAAAAGCACTGGCTGCTCTTCCAGAGGTCCTGAGTTCAGTTCCCCCAGCCATCTATAGTAAGATCTGATGCCCTTTTCTGGCATAAAGTGCTACATGCAGATAGAGTACTCATATACATAAAATAAATACATATAATTCAGATGCTCACCATCAGGCTCAAAAACATCAGATGAAGCACCACACTGAAGCTCAAATCCTATGCTCTGCCTTCACAGTATCCTTTCAAGTTCCCAGAGCTCTCCTTTGCTCACTGCTCTGTCCCCCACAGCCCTTGCCCCACTGAAGCTTCAGCTCTTCTGAGGCCTGTGCATGTGTTTCCCTCAGCCTAGAATGTTTCTTCCTACACAACCACAAAGCTGGGCCCTTTAATTTACTTAGCTGAAGCATCATTTAGGTTTGTTTATTTACACCCTATTTATGAGAGTGGTTCTGTCACTCTCACTTATCCTCCTTTTTTCTCCCTGTACTTGTCACTGGAAATAATTTTATTACACATCTATTTCCTATTCTTTGTTTCCCTTACTTGATGTTAAGGGCCCTAAGAGTAGTCCACCTCGTGCTTGTGCCCCCAGCCCCTGCAACAGGGCCTGGCACATCATAAGCAGTCCCTATCTATTTGTCGAATGCATTTGTTAAAAATGCCTGGTGACTTCTCATCATTTAAGCCTCACGCTAAATGTCATCTCAGCAAGCAGGTCCCTCGTCTCTCCTTTACATGCCCTCACACTGTTCCTCTCTGAAGCAATACTCCAGTTTTATTCTCCTAGTTTGTCTGCTTTGAAGTACTTATCCTCAGTTCATTAACTTGTTTATGGTCTGGGTACCCCCTTACCGCTACACAGGCTGCATGAGGACAGGAATCTTTGTAGGGAAAAGGGACCAGTCAAAGAAACACACCCTGAGCAGAGCCAAAGAAACACACTTTGGCCCTGCAACCACAACCAAAGAAATGTACCCTGACCCCCAAAACCAGTGCCAAAGGAACACACGTTGTCCCTGGAATGAGAGTCAGTGAAAGAAATGCACCCTGGCCCTAAAATTGGAGCTAAAAGGCTAAAAAGGACCAGAGAAAGAAACACACTTTGTCTCTGAAACCAGAGCCAAATCTGACCCTAATCCTGTGTAAAAAAGTAACCAATCCCGGAGCAGAGCTCTAGCCAATCTGAGTTCAGCACTGAAATCGGACCAATCCCTACTCTGGAAAAACTTCCCCAACCCCAAGAATCCCTATATAAACCCTGTGTATGTTCAGCTTGGCTGGTCCAGCTGCCTTCCAATAAACCCCTTTGGATGAGCTTTGGGTGAAGATCTTCTTTTGTGGAGGCGACAGAGCAGAGGCGACCCTGGGCAGAGCAGAGCAGAGCAGAGCAAGCAGAGGTAACCCTGGGCAGAGCAGAGCAAGCAGCGCTGTAACACTTGCCCGGGAAACCTTCCTTGGCAGAGCAGAGTTGTTACACTCTGCTCCTGGCTCCTCCACTCTCCAGGAGCAGAGCTGAACTGTAGCAACTTCACCCGAGAAACCTCCTGCCTAGCAAAACTGCTACACTAGGCGAACATCCCCAGCTGGAAGACCCTGTCCTGCCTGAGCGAAGCAGATACACCGGAGAAGCCTTACTCTGAGGCAAGGCTGTAAGCTGCCAAGCTTACTGCAACCTGTGGTGGTCCTTGGCTCCTGAGCTCCAGGATACCTTTCCACCTGAGCTGTGTAACACTCAGTATCCTTGGCTCCCGAGCTCCAGGATACCTTTCCACCTGAGCTGAGCTGTGTAACACTCAGTATTCTATGACTCCCGAGTGCCAGCATACCTGACCCACTCCTGTTCCATCCTGTCCCAACCCATCCTGAAACGCTTACAATCTTGTCCCTATTTATTCAACTCTGTAGCCCAGTGCCTAGCTCGTAGCTAGTCCCCAGCACAAGACTATTGGACTAAAAACGACAGAAGTGGTGACCACAGAGGCAGGTGTAGCAATGGTGCCAGCTCCTCTGTCAACACTCACCTTTTGGACAACAGAGTCAACAGAGTTAGAAGCAGGCTCTTCATCAGACAGTGCTTCATCCAGAGACAGTGTCAAAGACGGAGGTCTGGAGCTTGGTGTCTGAGCTGGTGACAGTGTCAAAGATGGAGGTCTGGAGCTTGGAGTCTCAGCTGGCAACTGTGTCAAAGATGGAGGTCTGGGTCTCAGGTCCTCCAATGGCTTTTTAATGGTTTCCAGGAAAATGGTCACAGGTTTGTCATCAATCAACATCTGGTGCTCTCCCTTTTTCAGTACTCTCTCCTTAGCTTCAAGGGGGACATTAAACAAACATATTCACACAGAAATGAGAGAGAATTTATAGATGACCCCAGGGTCTTCTCTGGGTTGATTTAGGAACTTCTTAGGACACCAAAATCCACAGATGTCCCTTATAGGCTTCCACACAAGCCACCCATATTCTCCCATGTGCTTTTAGTTTGCTTTTTGTTTACTTCTTTTTTTGAGACAGGGTCTCACTATGTAATCCTGGCTGTCCTGGAACTCCCTATACAGATCATGTTGGCTTTGAACTCTCACACATCTGCTTGTCTCCTCCTCCAAAGTGCAGGGTGAGAGGGGGTGGGGGGGGAGTAAAGCCGTGTGCCACCAAAGCAGGCCTTCCATACAATTTTAAGAATCTCTAAATGACTTTATTCCCTCACATAAGGTAAACACTATGGAAACACATGCAATGTTGGATTGTTTAGTTGGATGAACTCTAGGATGTGGGATTGCTATGTAAATTTCCTTAAGATGGAAACATTCTATTCTGCACAGAAGCTCCTAAAGCAAGAAGGTAAACAACTCAAAACACCTTCAGGAAGTCCCTGAAATTGACCAGATTCAGTAGGCTCCGTCCTGTTTGAGTTATCAGTGAAGATTGCTCAGGAAGACTGAGAAAAACTGCTCTGCAGGGGAGATGCTCACACAAGCCAGGCTGCTGAAAGAAACTGAAACCTGCCCAGCTACTTGGAGGAGGTTTACACCAACTGAGGCTCCTGGAAAGGACACTCTTCCACCCGTTGAGCTGCCTGCAGGCTGTGCAGTGTGCTCCATGTTCCCAGCTTTGTGTGCTGTCACACATGCTAGTCTGAGCTTTAGCAATGTAGCTGTCTTTGAGCCATTTGTGATCCTGTATGTGACCCCTCACCCATATTGCTGTAAGTAGCCTCAATAAAACTCATGGTTCACCAAGTTACACTTTGGTGGTATCTGTACTGTGGTGGGATTCCTATCTGGGGCGAGTGAACATGTGTGTTGTATCTCCCCAGAAAAAGCTTTGTGTCACAATAAGAACAGAAGACCTGACCAGTTGTTCCTGGCATTCTGGAATAGCAAATTGTTGATGGGAGAAAGTTACTCAGAACTCAAAAGTAGGCAGCTTAAGTTTTACTGTAGAACATCATTTGGTTATTAGAAGCCAAGTTTCTAGTGGTATACACCCATAATCCTAGCACTTAAATGGCAGAGGTAGTGGTAGGGTGATCACATGTTCAAGGTCAGTCAAGGCTACACAGCAATGGTCAGGAATCTCTCCTTTCAATGACACAGAATAACACTGTATGTTAAGTGGTGAAACCCCTACCAAACCAAGAACCCAAAAGTTTAGAGTGGCTTAAATATATATGCATTAGCTGATTCACAGAGAATACATGAAACTGTTCCCATTGTGTATCTCCAGGTAATTTTATTTTGACGTTTTAAAAGTTATCACATATTTTGTAATCCTTAAAAACAAGTCAGTGGAATCTCTATGTACAAAAGGAAGTTGCTTGCCCAGCTAGCACAGGGCCCTGGGTTTCCGCCCCACCCCCACCCCCACACACTTTCCTTTCTCCTCTCAAGTCGGTCTGCTGGGAAATTGGGCAACTCAGCTAGCAAATGGAAACCATCCCTAGGAAGCCTGTTCAGGGGTTGGGCCCATGTAAGGCTCTCTCCTGCACTGTGGGATAGAGAAAGTCTGTAGGCAGCAGCGGCTCCTACAGGCAGTGCCACACTCTGGTGGAAGCATGAATGGGTTTGTTTAGAAACTTGCAGGGTCTGCCTTTGCACCCAGTCCAGGCCCAGTTTCCCTGTCCCGGCTCACCTGCCCCTTCTAGGAACTTCACCTCGAAGGTGTCGGGGGCGCTGGGGCCCACGGGCTGGACAGTGCACTCCCCGCCATCCGAGGCCCGGCTCTGGAAGTATTTCTCTAGCTTCCTGTGCGCCCGGGGGATGGACTCCGGCAGCCGGACGAGTAGCGGGGACGGAGGGCAGGAGCTGGAAGCCATGGCAGTCCTTGTCTGGATCGTGTGGGGATCAGGGACTGTGTGCAGCCAGTACAGAGCAAAGGCGCGACCTGTCCCAGAGCCCGGGGCTGCAAAGTTTCAGTTTCGTTTCCCAGGAGGTCCCTCCCTGTTCCTTGTAGAGCTACCTTCTTTCTTTCTCTGCGATCTCCTAGGGCCTTTGCCCAGGTGAGTAGTTTGTACTCCGGGCGGTGGGCTCTTGGGGGAAGTAATTTCTCCGGGGTTGCAGGTCGCCTTCTTCTCTTGCAAGATGGGAAGAGTAGCAGGAACCGGGTTGCCAGAGTCAGGCCTCCTATGGGAGGGTGTAGCAGAGTAGAGAGAGAAAAAGTTTCCCCCATGTTTTGAGCTTCGATACTATGGTTATGATTAATATCTGAGATGCCTTCTGAATTTAAGTTATAGTTACCTGTTTTCTTTGCAGTTGACGGAATTTACCTGCTAGATAGGCACTTAGGAGTTTTCTGCTCTGGGTTGGTAAATTAGCCAGTACCACAGATCTGTGTGCTGTCCAGAATCCCCAGAGAGTGGGGCAGAGTAGGTACCTATGAACAAGACAAAAGCCAAAGGACTCCAAGAGCTGCTTTCAAGCAGAATCTTAAGGTGAGGTGGGGGAGGGGAGGAGAGTGCCCCAGACTGGGAGAGGTGTAGTGAGAAGTCACTGAGGGCTCAGTCCCAGGCCTGGGAGCAGATGAGATGGGTCAGGGAGAGAAAGAAGTGTCTGTGAGAATCTGTAGTGTCAACAGAAATGCAGTGGGGATTGTGTGTGTTCACTGTTGTCAATTTGACTGTATCAGCTAGTGCTTGTGAGGGATTTTCTGTGGTGATACACTGCTTATATAACAGCAAAGCAGCTATGCCAGTTAGCCATAAAAGCCCGGCAGTAGTGGCACACGCCTTTAATTCCAGGACTCAGGAGACAAAGGCAGATAGATCTCTCTGAGTTCAAGACCACCCAGGGCTACTCGAGATAAAATCAGTCTAAAAGAGTAACAGAACTCAGGACTTTAATCCCAGGACTCATAAGAGGTGTTTAAGCCAGGACAGGTTTTCAGAATTCATTCTCCAGCCATACTGAGGAGAGGCAGCAAGCAGTCTGGGGCTTGGTGAGAGCTGGTGTGAGGTAGAGGTATGAGCCAGCAGCTGACTACTTCGTTTTTTTGATCATCAGTGGCTTTAATAAATCATAAACAGCTGAGCGGTGGTGGCTCACGCCTTTAATCCCAGCACTCAGGAGGCAGACGCAGGTGGATCTCTCTGAGTTCGAGGCCAGCCTGGTCTACCGAGCGAGTTCTAGGACATGGTCCAAAACAATACAGAGAAACCCTGTCTCGAAAAACCAAAAAAAAAATCATAAACAATATATCACCACAATTTTCTTTCTTCCTTTTTTCTTTTACTTTTTCTTTTCTTTTTTTGGTTTTTGTTTTTCGAGATAAGGTTTCTCTGTATGACAGCCCTAGGTGTCCTGGAACTTGCTTTGTAAACCAGGCTGGCTGCAAACTCACAGAGCTCCATCTGCCTCAGCCTCCCAAATCCCTGTCTGTGAGGGATTTTTTTTTTTTTTTTTTTGGTTTTTACGAGACAGGGTTTCTCTGTATTGTTTTGGAGGCTGTCGGATCAGCCCGGCCTCGAACTCAGAGAGATCCGTCTGCCTCTGCCTCCGGAGTGCTGGGATTAAAGGTGTGTGCGACCACCACCCGGCGAGGGATTTTTCTTAATTGGATCATTTAAGGCAAGTAGACCCACCCTAAGTCTGGCCCACACCTTCTGGGATGGTGTGTATAAAACAAGGAAAAAGGAAGCTTTTGCTTTTTGCCTGCTTGCTTCAGGACAGACACGTGCACCAACATCTGAAACAGATACCCTGCTGTCGGGTTGCAGGAACCTTACAAGTCTTTCTTCTGTGAAAACAACACTGCCCTCTGGCGGCACGGCGGACCTTTTCCCTGCAGTAGGTTAGTATCCAACTTACTCAACGTGTATGACCAACTGTGCTCTGATGTTGTAGAGTTTTTCTATTGCAGACATAAATCGCTCCCAAGACTTCATGATAGCAACAACTTTAGGCCACTGTAGTGTGAGTTTTAATCAGAAGTCTGTTCATAATCTTTAGTTTTTACCTATTAGGCTTTCTGAATTTGATCCATATGCTTAGGTCAGAGTTGTGTATCACAGGTTCAAGCAGTTTTCAGTCTTCAAAGGCCCTGTGGGGAGCTCCACTTCCCAGAGGCTGCTCTTGTCCAGTCTCACCGCTTTGTTACCGTTTTGTAAATACATTAATAACATCAAGGCCTGGTTCCTGTCTCACTTCCATAGAGCTTTTCCTATTCCAGCTCCTACAGTCTCCCATTATAGTCCCATCCACCACCACCCCCAACTACTCCCCACACTACCACCCTCCCTCCCCTCTGACTTCGAGTAGGACATCAGTCAGAAGGTAGACAGTAACAATGGCAAAATGACATGAGCATCCTCACCATGGACAGGAAAATAAAAAATTGCTTTCAGGTTTCCTATGGTATATTCTTTTCTTTTCTTCTTCCCCTTCTCCTCTTCTGGCTTTATTTTTTTTCCAAGAAGGGTTTTACTTTGTAGTCTTGGCTGTCCTGGATCTCTGTAACTCAAAAGATCCAGATGTCTCTGCCTCCTAGGGTTGGGATTAAGGGTGTGCACCACCACACCCAGCTTCCTGTGTTCCTGTGTGTGTGTGTGTGTGTGTGAGTGTGTGTGTGTGTGTGTGTGTGTGTGTGTGTGTGTGTGTGTGTGTGTGTAGTTTTTGTGACAAGATTTCTTTGTACCAGCTCTGGCTGTCCTGGAATTCATTTTGTAGACCAGGCTGGCCTTGAACTTACAGAGATATGCTTCCTGAGTGCTAGGATCTAGGTGTGCCCCAAACCTAGATTCTCTCAGCTTTAAAAGCCTTTAATACCAGCACTCAGGAGGCAAAAGCTGGAAACATCTGAATTGGAAGCCAGCCTCATCTACATAGCAAGTTCCACAGCAACCAAATAACGTGATGAGACACTGTCTCAAAAACAATAACAAAAAACCAAAGCCCAAATTCCCTTCCCTTTTGGTCAGTGCTCACTGTATTCTTTCTATTTGATGCCAGAAATAGACCACCATCTCTAGGATCGACAGACTACACTTGGAAACACAAAACCGTATAAAGGGCTAAAGACCCACGTGGGACCTGAAGGATGGCCTTTTACATGGTAAAGACATAAATACCTTTTTGTCATGAAGTTGAACCATTATATGAAGAGTTCTCCCCATACCAGAAAGAAATCTGGAGTCTCCAGCTACAAATAGCTTCCCTGTTGTTTTACTAGCTCAACTAGGGTCTGTACAGAAGGCTCAGTGGTTAAGAGTGAATACTGCTTTTGTAGAGGACCTAGATTGGGTTCCTAGCACCCACACGGTGGCTCACAGTCGTGCCTGTAACCCCAGTTCCAGGGGATCTGATGCCCTCTTCTAGTCTTTGCTGGCTCCTAATGCATGTGGTGTGCACAATCTCACATAGTATTTTCGATTAGTGGTTAAGAGCACTGGCTGCTTTCCCACATAAATTGGGCATGGTCGTACCTAGCAAGTTTAAGGCCAGACTAGGCTGCATGATACTCAGCCTCAGTCACCTCCATGTCGTGTGATTCCAGCAGTTCTTTCAGGATGGGTAGGAATGATCAAGGAATGAAACCCGGAATAGAGAAAGGCACCCTGTGGAGTAGATCTGAAAATTCCCACTTAATGCTTGTGTATGAAATAGGCAAACGGAAGTGGATCCTTACAGAGGTGAGGAGCTGCAGCTGGTGTGGCTCCTCAAGTTTTCTTCCTGGCCAGGGAAACCCCACAAGACTCTGGAAATCAGATCCTGTCCAGCTCTTTGGCTCACTCTAGTTGAGGCCTTTGTGCCTTTTCAGGTGTTAACCTCCAGACTTGTATCTTATTCTGAATTCAAAGTGTATCAGCTGAGCATGGTGGTAACCTCAGCCCTGGGGAGTTCAAGGCTAGCCTGGGCAATATAGTGAGTTCAAGCCATCCTGGCCATAGTGTGAGATGAACAGACAAAAAGTGCGTTGACCTTGAAGAGGCATAGGATCAGAACTTGATGCAGCTTTTAGTGTTTTCAGGGTTTTGGGCACACTGGTTAAAAATAACACAACAAAAAGCAACCAAATAATGAATCTACACAAACAACCCAAACATTTCCTCCCCAAAGCCCCCAACCCGAAAACCTGTGCTCTGAGCTGTGCTTTCTCTTACTAGACTGTGTGCCCTGTCCCTCATCTCTGCTTTTGCAGTTTCATGCTTTTAAAGGAGCCGTTTTCATATTTTCACAGGGTTCTGGAGCAGCAGCTTACACCGAAAGACCAGGTATGATTGCGAGTCTCTCTCTCTCTCTCCCTCCCTCCCTCCCTCCCTCCCCCTTCTCTCTCCTCTCCCCCCCTCTTATTTAAGAAAGGCTTTGCTCAGCTCTTTCCTCAGTGCTGAAGAGGGCACACAGAAGGAGACTGTCTCCCCTCAGGGCTCAGGTGTGTGACTACAGGCCCTGTGGAGATGCCAGCACCTGCTTCAGAGGCACTGGGACAGCTGAAGACAGGTTTTCTTAGGGTCCCCAATGTCCTTTTCCCTGGTCGGCAGATGTTGGACTCTTTTCTCTTTTGTGTGTTTGAGATGGTCGCAGTTTGTAGATCTGCCTGCCTTTGCCTCTGAGTGCTGAGATCAGAGGTCCACATCGCTCCTCTCTATCCTGTGAGACTCTTCAGTCCATAGTTGGACATACAGAATGGGCAGAAGGGGTGGCCAAGAGCTGAAAGAGCCAACCTTCCTAATTCTAGGGGTGGCCATCTAAGGTTTCCCACCAGTGCTTGGGCCACTTGAGACCAACTGCTTAGATGTGGCTTCTTTCGGGTAAAAGAGGTCACCAGAGGTCTTTCTTGGTGCTGCAGACTAGAAATGAAGTAAATTGCCACATTAAATCTATTTTAGGAGGCACATTTACTTGCATTTTTTAATGCCTCTGAAAAGAGGGCCGGTTTCACTGGCATTCATTTTCTTTTCTCGGACACAGAGGATATGTTGATGACAACTCACTGAAGAATAGACACTTCTGCTTGGGATAGTTTAGACCAAGAGCAAACCTAGAATCGCAATCTCAACGATTCTCTTCCTGTTCTTCATCTTTCTGAAGCTTATGGTCTGTAGTCTCTGACTCTTGGGTGTATCTGATGTCTGTCTGTCCTGTGGTCTGTCCCTAACAAAGGGTTTACTGTTTATTTGAAAGCCCAGAGAACACAATATGGCAAAGGAATTAAGAATGTTTTAAAAAGAGTTTTAGAAGGGTAGAAGTTACTTTACTGACCCCAGGTGACCTTGTAAACAGGTGTTTTAAACAGATGTTCTCAATCTATATCTTCATGTTGCTTCCAGCAGTTATGAGTTATTTTGTTTAAGGTTACTTTCAACCTACTGGCTGCTTTCAGCAAATGATTACCACAACACACACAGGCTCACACATTAGTCTGGGTCAGGGACATGGAAGAATAATAGTTTTAAGATTAAAGCTATGTCTTTAGTTTAGGTTGTAAAAGGGAATTGCATAAGAAGTATATATACTATTGCATAGTAAGGTTGGTTCTATTGTTTCCTTTTTTAAACAGATTTATTTATTTATTATGTATACACTGTTCTGCCTGCATGTATGTCTGAGTACCAGACCTCATTCTAGATGGTTGTGAGCCACCATGTGTTTGCTGGGAATTGAATTCAGGACCTCTGAAAGAGCAGTCTGTGCTCTTAATCTCTGAGCCATCTCTCCAGCCCTGATTTTTATTTTTAAAGATGGGATCTCACTATGTAGCTCTGACTGACCTTGAATTGTGTCGACCCTGGAGCTGGCCTTGAACTCACAGAGATCTGCTTGCCTCTGCCTCCCCAGTGCTGGGATTTAGAAAAGGCATGCACCAAAGAGTAAATAATTTTTTGGTTACTGGGCTAACCTCTTGGTTGATTTTGACTGTAGGACCGGAGTACATGTTATGAGGTAGAGGTTGTTGGCCTTCTACCCATTGGCTGGTCCTGTGTTGCTCATCTCCCCTGAGGACAGCTTTGAGCAGTGACTCATGGAAGCTGGATACATAGCTCCTGTAATGACCATTCTAGGGCTGTAACTCTGAGTTACTGATCTATTCTGCCCTCTAGTAAGGTTAAGCTTCGTTTGCTAACACACACACACATCATCCTTTTTGTTTTTGTTTTCCAGTCTTAGGTTCTTACCTTCTCTCCTTAACCAGAACCCCTGGTGTTTTAAACTACTTACACTCTAAAGTTTTACCTCAGGACTTTCTTCTGAGCAAACATGAACTGAGACACTAAAAGAAGTGAAGTTATGAATATTTTTGATTCATAATTAAGTCATTTTAGTATGTGTGTGCATGGCATGAATCTTCCCAAACTCACAATTTTTACATACATTCAAGACATTCTTATCCCTGGTACAAGGTTTTCTCACTTAGAGAGTGCTAACTAAATTCCAAACTCAAGGCTGAGCCCTTTCCAGGTGACTTGGCATTGAAGACCCTTAGATGTCCTTGGCCTAATTTCAGGTGTGGGTGAAAAGCAGTCTGTAAGGAGGGAGTGCAGGGTCATCTCTCTTTAGAAGCAAGAAACTCAATCTTGTAGTATGGAAAGGAGTCATGACCTCTTCAAAGGAATTGTTCTTCACTGCTTTCCAGTTTCGCCTCTTTTCCTTTTCCAGCCAGCAGTCCTTTTGCAGGACACAACAGATGGCAAATTCCCGTTAAGCACAATGCCTTCAAAATTTTAAAAAGGAATGAGGGTCAGCTGTGTGAAGTCCTCCAGAATAAGTTTGGGTGTATCTCTGCCCTGAGCTGTCCGACTGTAGCAGGAAACAGCGCTTCTGCTCAGCAGGTCTTCAGAAGGAGGCTGGCCCCTGGGATAGAGTTATCTGTCTGGAAGGATGACCTCACTAGACATGTTGTTGATGCTGTGGTGAACGCAGCCAATGAGGAACTTTTGCATGGAGGTGGCTTGGCTGGAAGTCTGGTGAAAGCTGGTGGCCTTGAAATCCAAGAAGAGAGCAGAAGATTCATTGCCACCTATGGGAAAGTTCCAACTGGTCACATAGCTGTCACAAAAGCAGGGAGGCTTCCTTGCAATTGTATTATCCATGCTGTCGGGCCTCGGTGGACAGGCAGCCAGACAGCTATTGAACTTCTGAGATGTGCCATTAAGAACATCCTAGACTATGTCTGCTTACCAAATACACACATTGAGACTGTAGCAATTCCAGCCCTGAGCTCTGGAATTTTCCAGTTTCCTCTGGATTTGTGTACACGCACAATTTTAGAAACTATCTGGCTTTATTTCCAAGGGAAACAACTGATCAGTGATTTGAAAGAGATTCATTTGGTGAGCAATGAAGACCGCACTGTTGCATCCTTTAAAGATGCAGCGGAAAACATCTTGGGGAAGGAACTGAGCCCCTGGGAGAGTCCAGGAACTACCCCTTCTTCCAATGCGACACTTCAAATTGGCCAGGGTCTGACTCTCCAGATTGTCCAAGATTGTATTGAACTTCAAACAGTAAGTCTGCTTTTATGCTCTGGCACTGACAGAGGGGAATCCTGGAATTGGTTGTTTTCAATTAATTTTTTAAAAAGATGTATTTATTTATTTATTATGTATACAGTGTTCTATCTGCATGTGTCCCTGCAGGCCAGAAGAGGGCACCAGATCTCATTATGGATGGTTGTGAGCCTCCATGTGGTTGCTTGGAATTGAACTCAGGACCTCTGGAAGAGCAGCCTGTGCTCTTAACCTCTGAACCATCTCTCCAGCCCTTAATTAGTTCATTTTTAAATCTATCTATCTACTTGTTTTATGTATGAGTGCTCTGTCTACATGTATGCCTGCATACCAGAAGAGGGTATCAGATCCCACTATAGACGGTCGTGAGCCATCATGTGGTGCTGGGAACTGAACTCAGGACCTTTGGAAGAGCAGCCAGTGCTCTTAACTGCTGAGCCATCTCTCCAGCCCTGAATTAATTGTTAATTATGAAGATGTTTAAAGTAGAAGACCATAGAATATATCTTTTTGCGGTTAAAAATGTGGGCGTTGGGGTTAGACTGTCTGGATTGGAGACTACCTTCATTAATTCCTAATTCAACTACTTTCTTTTTGTCAGTCTTCAGGCCTTTCTCTGTAAAACATAATAACAGCCCTTGACAACAGAAAGCTGGAATCAGCACCCAAGAAATGCTTCCAAGCATGCGTGACACATGGTTAATATGGGAGCTAAAATTTCTAGGCTATGATTCTTAGGAACCATAGGGAGTTAGAATACTCTTTGATCCCAGAGAACTTAAGCTTCCTCTTATCTCTGTTGTTTTTGAAGTAGGGGTTTGAAGCGTGGTCCTCTTGCCTCGGCCCCAAGCACTAAATTTTTACTTTATTATTATTTTTTTTAAATCAGCCTTGGCTGTTCTGGAACTTGCTCTGTAGACCAGGCTGATATTGAACTCACAGAGACCCATCTGCCTCTACCTCCTGAATGCTGGATTAAAGCTACCACACCCCCGCTGAACACTAAAATGAATGAATGAGTGAATGAATTTACTTTGTGTGTTGACAGTTCTGGATTTGTGTGTGTCCGTGGGTGTTTGCGGGTGGGATTGCACACCTGTGCATAGGTGTGTAGGGGCCAAAGGCCAGCCTTAGTTGTCTTCTTAAAGTATTGTCTACCATTCTTTTTTGAGGCACAGTTTCTTGTTGGTCTGGAACTTTTCAGGTGGATTGTACTAATTGGCCAGGTGTTGCCTTTGCCTTCTCTGGCTTGCTGGGATTATGAGTGCTCCATATCACACCTGGCCTTTTTACAGAGTTTCTTGCAAGCCATTTCCTGACTGAGTCATCTCTATAGTTCTATCCTAATTTTCATCTTTAAAACATCCTTTATTTGGAAATATCGCATTGGGAAAACAAACCACTCAACTTTTCTGAAGCAACAATAGTAAACAAAGTAGTATTTAGGCATGGCTGGGGATGGAGGCCCACCCTTGTAATCACAGTACCTGGGAACCCCAATGACCAGGGACTCAAGTTCCTCCTCGGCTCCCTGAGTTTGAAGAATCCAGCTTTGGCTACATGAGACCCTGCTTCAAAAATCTGGGGAAAAGATAAACAAAACCCCCCAAAAGAATGTAATTTGTGATTAGAGCAACATAGACACAGCAGCCGCAAAAAGTGATGGTGGTAGGGCAGAGTAATACCCTAAGTGACACTCCTCTAACAGCAACCCAGGCTGGGGTGCTCTGTGGTGGGTTCAGCATGGGTTGGATGGGAAAACAAAACTGATTTCAGGTTGTAGCCGGCGTGAACTGCCAGGAGGGAGGGCTTTCAGGACGGCTGAAGTGATGGTCAGAGAGACAGGTATCCGCAGACAGGAGATAGGGAGTTTGGATAGACTCACGATTAAAGTCGTATCTTTATTATTGTTTTTTGGATCAGTGATGTGTTCTGTGGCCACAGTCAAATGATAATTAATCAGTTGTCAGTGACAGTAGCACTTCCTGCATACAAGTGAATCAGAATGAAGACCAGGAAGGCTAAGAAATGAAATATCTGAGGAGTCATTAGTGTAGCAGTTTAAAATCAAAGTACAGAAGCATGATTACCAAATTTTACTGTATTCATTTGTTTTCAGCAGCATTAGGAACCTCACAGTTTCTGAAGGCTGCTAGTGCCCCCCAATGGCAAATTCAGATTGCCTTTTCAGGGTAAAACCATTAACGTCCCTGATAAACTGAGCACTTTGGCATATGCCTGATTCCCAACACCCCAGACAGACACAGAGGATTTGATCTAAATCAAGTTGCAGGTCAGTCAAGTGACACCCTGTCTCAAAACAAATAAAATCCACAGAAGTACGTGTAAGTTTCCTTTGATGGAGCCAGGGACATTGGAATGACAAGATTTTGGGCACTGAAGTAGCAAGAATACAACTGACTTTAACCCTGCTCTCAAAGTTATAAGATACAAGATCTGTGCTTTCCCATGGTCTTAGCGACCCTGTGAAAGGCTCATGTGACCGCCCAAAGGGGTCCACACCTCAGGCTGAGACTGCTGCTGCTGTAGATGAGCTGGTTAAAGTGGTTGCCTGTAGACTGGTTGGATGAGTGTATCTGGTGACCCCATGGAGAAAGAAAGTTGCTTTTCACTAAAGACCTTTTGGTCTTGTTTATACTTTCTTGAACTTTGTACATGAGATCATAAAGACTTGAGATGGCAGAGTTCCTGAGAAACTTTATTCTTTGTTACAAGACAACCTACACAGAAATAGCAGGAGGCGATGGAGGTATGGCAGAGAAAGGAACCTGTAAGGATTTTACTCAAAAATCACCACGGGCTAGGGAGATGTCTCAGTGGTAGAATACTTGCTTATCATATGCACTGGGGAACACAACACAACTGGGTGTGGTAGCAGTGTATGCTGGTAATTTTAGCACTGGAGAGATGAAGAGATGGTTCAAGGTTTACCTGGAATACATAGTGAGGCCCGACCACAAAAATAAAATAAAACAACAACAACAACAACAAAAAAAAACAAGCAAAAAAGTAGGCATGCAGTCAGGTGAAAAGATAAAAGGGCGGGAGGATGTAGTTCAGTTGGTAGAGTACTTGCCTAGCAGCAGGAAAGCCTTGGATTCAATCCTCAGAATCCATAACCCTGTAATCCCAACACTGGGGAGGTAAAGGCAAGAAGTTCAGGAATTTAAGCTCATCTTCAGCTATGTGGGAAATCTCAGGTCTGTCAGGCTCCAGGAGACAGTCTCAAAAACAAAACAAGGTGTGTGGTGCACGCCTTTGAACCCAGCACTGAAGGAGTAGAAACAGATGGATCTCTGTGAACTTGACGTCAACCTGGCCCACACAGTGAGTTAGTTACAGGTCAGCTAGGGTTGCATGGTAAGACTTTGTCCCCAAAACTAAAACAATCAGGAAACCAAGGAGGCTGGGAGAAGGCTCATTTGTTAAGAGTATGACTGTTATCTAGTAGAGGATCCTTATTCTGTCTCCACCACCTGAATCAGGCAGCTCACAGCTCTCTGTGACTCCAGCTCCAGAGAAGGTCATATCTTGTTCATGATTTCGCAGGTACTATACTCATGTGTACAAACCCACACACAGAGACAGACATACAATTGAAAATGAAACCATTTTTTAAAATTTTATTTTAGTATTTTGTGGGTATAAGAGTTTTGCCTGTGTGTCTGACTCCAAATGCATGCATGGTGACTTCAGAGGTAAGAAGAGAGCTTTGGGGGCCTGGTGTTGGTGGCGCACGCCTTTAATCCCAGCACTCGGGAGGCAGAGGCAGGTGGATCTCTGTAAGTTCGAGACCAGCCTGGACTACCAAGCAAGTTCCAGGACAGCCTCCAAAGCCACAGAGAAACCCTGTCTCGAAAAACCAAAAAAAAAAAAAAAAAAAAAAAAAAAGAAGAAGAGAGCTTTGGATCCCCTAGGGGTGGGTGACTGACAGTTGCAAGCTGCAGTGCACCAGCTGGAAGTTGAACCCAGTTCCTTTGCAAGAGCCACAAGTGCTCTTAACCACTGAACGATCTCTCCAGTTTGAAAATAAAGTCTGGGGGCTGTAGGGATGGCTTGGCGGTTAATAGCACTGGCTGCTCTTCCAGAGGTCCACAGTTCAATTGCCTCACAATCACATGGTGGCTCACAACCATCTATAATGAGATCTGGTGCTCTCTTCTGGACTGCAGGTACACATGCAGGCAGTAAATAAATCTTAAAAAAAAAAGGAAAAGAAAATAAAGTCTTTAAAACAAAAGAAACCAGGAGGAATGACCAGAAGCTTGAAATTAAGGAAGGATAATTCAGCAAAAGGTGAATGCAATAACAATATCATCCATATATGTACATAACTTCAAAATAGGACAAACAGCTTCGGGGTAATGAAATGAATTCTCTAGAAACATCAGTCTGTATTGTGAAATCAATTTTGTGGATTTTGGGACATTGAAAAAATAATTTCAAAACCCCAAAGGAAGTACAAATTAGTCATTTAAGAAGGAGGGATTTAACACTGAATCCTGTGTTTTCTTCCATTTTTCAGACAGATGTCATTGTTAATTCTGGATACAAATTCAATCTTAAAAGTGGACGTGTGTCACAGTCAATTATTAAACAAGCAGGACTTGAAATGGAAAGGGAACTTGACAAGATTAATCTGTCTTCAAATTACCAGTTGGTACTGGTCACAAAAGGATTTAAATTGTCCTGTCGGTATGTGTTCCATGTGGTATGGGAATTTGAAAGAAAACACCAGGTAAGTTCAAACTCAGTTTATGTTTGTATACATACACGATCTAAGCAGTTTGTTATTATGTCTATAAAATATTGTCAGATGGCATATCCCTGTTAGGAAACACATCTATGCCTGACTGAAAGGCTGAGCAAGTATGGTTGCTCCAAGTTCTCTTAGGTTTGATTTGAAATGTCTAAGTGTACACATGCACATGGGCACTGAAACAACAGAACCTTCCATCTGTATGCCAGTTTGCTCCACAATACCTAATGGCTTGCTCTGTCTTTCTATAATGAGATGGGATTCAACCTTACCATAATTCCTTTCACATGTTAAATTTCAGCAGGAATTGGTTCCATACCATTCCAGTCAAATCTATTACCCGATCTTTTCCAACTGCATATAGGAATATTGACTCTTAGCCAATTCTTCCCATAAGACACAAAAATTAGAGATTAGAGTGAGTCCATTCAGATGTAGAGAGATGTCTAATTGCGTATGCCTTTTGGTTGTCTTTTGTTGTTGTTGTTGAGATAGTGTCTTTCTTTTTTAAAATATTTATTTATTTAAGTGAGTTGCTAATCAGAGATAGCAAGAATGCATCTTCTCCAAATCCACAACTCTTGTGTTCTCTCTGTGACCCTGTTTTTTGTTTTTTAAGATTTACTTATTTATTATGTATACAAGCCAGAAGAGGGCACCAGATTTCCTTACAGATCATTGTGAACCACCATGTGTTTGCTGGGAATTGAACTCTGGACCTCTGGAAGAGGAGTCAGTGCTCTTAACCACTGAGCCATCTCTCCAGCCCCGATAGTGTTTTTCTTTACATAGCTGAACTCACAGACATCTACCTGTCTCTGCTTCCCAAGAGCTGGGATTAAAAGTTTGTGCTATCACCAAACTGGGTATTTTGTTTTTGAGATGAAGTCTCAATGTATAGCCCAGGTGGCCTGGAAGTATATTGTCCAGGCTATTCTAAAACTCATGGGAATCCTCTTGCATCTGTAGTGTAAATCCTAATTGGTCTTAATAATAATAAAAACCCAGAACCAGATATCAGGGCAAATCGTGAGAGAAGAGAGAAACAAAGGAATGAGTCACAGCCACCTCTTAACTCAGCCTCAAAGGGGTGAGCTCCTGCTTCCTCCCACCTTATATTCCTCTCTGTCCAGCCATATCACTTCCTTTCTCCATCACCCTCCCTAGTGTTGGGATTAAAGGCATGTGCCTTCCAAGTATTGCATCAAAGACAGGAGATCCCATGTTCTTTGATTAAATGTACATGCTACCACTGCCTGGCTTCTATGATTAACTAGTAGGTAGCTCATCTGATCTCCAGGCAAGCTTTATTTGGTCGATCACAAACAAAATATCACCACATTTCCCCTTTTTTTTCTAAAATCAAAAGAAGGTTATAACTAATATTGAAAAAAACATATATAACATATACAGGCAATGAATACATCAACAATGTCTATTCCTTTAACCATTGACAAATTCAGAGAAAATACTCCATATCTCTCCTACCCTGGTGAATTCACTTTTTATTCTAACTTGCATTACCAAGATTATCTTTTAATGTCTCTGTACCTTATACACTTTATACATCTTTAGTGAATTTCTTTTCTGAATCTGGTAAGAAGGAAACCTATAGCTATAAAGTCTTCAACTCTGTATCAGAGACCTGAGAAGGAAGTAATATTACCTGAGGAAGCGGTAAGAGTGAGCAAGCAACTTCCAAAAATGTGAGAAATAACAGAAACAGCTAGCTTCCTAGACAGTCACCCAATGTTCATTTGCAATGTTGGGGCACCTATCTTCAGCCTACAGATCCAGAATAACTGACAGACTATCTGTGAAGGAGGATTTTCTGAAAGGCTGTCCTAACTTCTTTTGGCAAAGTTTGACAGTCCCTTTGTGTCTTGCTCGTTCCATTTGGACAGCATACTATCAGCAGTGTAGGAAAGGGCATTTTCTTGCCCAGGTATCTAACTTCTACCACAAAGAAAGTAAACTCCATGTGGAGTTTCTTCAATGTCCATCATCTTCTCAGAAGTACATTGGTGCTGCCAGTAGCAGACATGTTTCACAGTCATTAAAAAGCAAGCAGGCAAACAAACAAATAAACAAGCAAAAACCTATGTTGTAGCAGGAAGAATAAAAACCCAGAGGCAGATATTGGGGTTCAATCTGAAGACTGGAAAAGCAAAGCAGCCAACCAGACTGACTCCTGTCTCATCCCCTCTTTTATTCCTCTCTAGTACTGGTTTTAAAAGTGTGTACCACGACCAACAGGCCTCTATGGCTAACTAGTTTGGTTGCTGAGACTAAAGGTGTGTACCACCACTCTATGGCAGTCTACTGTGTCTACCTTTGCACTTTATTAGATCATAAACAAAATATAACCATGCTAAGTTATTAAAACATCTTAAATGCCATATTCTGTAGATTTCTGAAGTTTTTGAAGATGGCATAACTAAAAAAAAGTCTGTTTAACCTTGAAAACTTACTAATATGACTACAAGTTAGATTGTAATAAGTGACTAAGTCTAACTTGCATTTCTTTATTATCCTAAATAGTTTGTAATAATAACTTTCAAGGAGGACAAATTTTCATTACATTGTTAAATGAGTTGCATAGGTACAATAATTTGAACAAGATTAGAAAAGTGTGTACAGTATATAGTAACAAAAATAATCTTAAATTTGTATCAATATACAAAGATTCATATCAATGTAAAGTATTTAAAACACGGAGTTGTTTTCTAAAAGAAGATTCAATAATCTACCCATTTATTCTGTCGTATCTCTCTTCCCTTTTCAGAGTAGATTGGGTCATCTATCCTTTGTCCTATCATTTCTATATCCCATTTCCTTTTTCTTTTTTTAAGTAAGAACTGTGAATCTAATCTTCTTTATTCAGCTTTTCTTTTCTTTTTTTTAACCATTACCAATGTATGCAACCAACCACCCTAAGCAATGACAAATATCCATAACACATAGAAAGAACAAAAACGACACATTCCTCCTCTTGGGAATGTGGGCGTCATGGTCTTAAATTTATTTCCTGCTGTCTGTGGGTGACAGCATCTTTAGGGGATCCTGAAAAGAACAACTTGGGTTAATTGTCAAGTCCTGGGAGAGGTAGCTGTATCATTCATTGTCAGGTCTCTGTGTAATGGGAAAGTACAGGGCTTGTCTTAAGTCCTGCCTGGAGTAGTCTGTGAGGCTGTATCATCTAGCTAACCATCTGGACATTGTCCTGAGAAATTTGTAATCCAAAGCTGATCTGTAGATGGTGTTTGTCAGCTCAGTGGCATTCTCACAATCCTGATGGAATTGTAGTTGTGGGGCCCCATTAATCCTTTTGGAGACATCAACATTTGCTGTTAGTCAAGGTCATGGTTCACTGCAGAAAACTTAAACATTTTAAATGTCATATGCAGCTGATCTCAAAGAAGTTAAAGGATCAATATTTGTTATGTACATCCAGAGTACAGAAACTTAATTCCTAGTTACATGATAGAGATTCAACATGAAGTCATGCACAGGAAGCTTGATGAAGCCTTTTTCTAGAATTAGTTATTACTCTATACGACCATTAATATCATGGAAAAAAGTTTAAAATGAATATATATTGATCTTACAAATTTTAAGATGATACTTGTACCTTAAGAAAAAGAGCGAGCTAGAGTCAAAATAAAACCACACGATCATGAGGAAATAGAATTTTCCTCTCTGTCCTTCTGGCCCTATACATTCCACCTAGCTCATGCTGTTTTACCTAAGGTAAAATCTCTGAAAGATGAACATTTACTTCCTGAAGAGGCCAGTTTGGATGCCAAGATTCTGGTGCAATTATTGTTACATCTACACCCATCTCTACTAGACCTTCAATGACTTTTTAAAATTTTGGTCTTTGTTCATTTATAGAAGTTTGCCAAAATACTCGATTTATGGTTTCTCCTGAATTTTTTGTTCTCTCTTCTATTAGCTTCTCTATCACCCAGAGCAGAATGGTTTCTTACAACAGGCGTTGGGTTCTTTAATTGATCTGGGGAAGAGTTTCCTCCACGATGATAGGAAACAACTGAACTGAATTTGACTTGGGGGTCTGCCTCTGCCTCACAAATGCTGGACACCACCACTGCCCAGCATGTTTACATTTTTTAATGTGGGAAAACTCTGTTTTAACTAATTCCTCCCTTTAAGAATTCTCAGTCCTCTCAACGATTCTGCCAATGATGATGATTCAGATGAAGTGTGGGACTGACTGCTTTGCATGGAAAAGTAAAGACTGAGCAGTTTTGAAGTCAGCTACCTAGTGTGGTAGCAGCCCAAGGAGGGGGTCCAGGGAAAGCCCATAACCAACTGGAAGAAAAGAAGCCAGAGAGCCAGTTGTCTGCATGGGGGAATGTGAGAATGCAGTTAACCCTTGCGGTTATTGGAGCCTAAATGCTGCAGATAGGTAGAGTAGACAGACAGACAGACAGACAGACAGACAGACACAGGCTGCAACAGAAAAATCCCAACTTGCTCAGAGGTTTCAGGATAAGAAAGGAAAACCTTGGCTGCTGGGGTAGTTACTCTGGGCCTGGTTCAGCTTCTGCCTGTGCCGCTAACTGCAAAGCCACAGGCAAGCAGCTTTTTTTGTGAATTTGTGTCACAAAAGTTGGGTGCTAGATATAGGCGAATTGTATCTTCCTCCTGAGTGCCAGCATTATAAGCCATCACTGCTAGCATGAGTGTGTGTGTGCGTGTGTGTGATTTCTCTGCTATGTCTTGTTCTCTCTTAGAGAGCTCTCTAACCCAAGATTGGCCTTCTAGTTATCATCTATGCTTCATCTTTCATAGATCCTTCCACAGACAACCTTCCTGTCTATATACAGTAATTCAATATAATACTGAAGTTGATAGAGGGTTAGCCTGATTGGTGGTCCACTCTTTTTTCTGTTTCTAATCCTAACGCTTGTGAAGCAGATGCAGGCAGAGCTCTGTGAGTTGAGGCCACATACTCTACATGGTGAGTTTCAGGCTAGTCAGGGTATATATTAAGACTTTTTCCCTAGGGGAAAAAAAAGAAAGAAAAGTTGATGGAAATTTAAATCTGCTAAAACTATTGGCATTTCTTCAGGCGAAGGTATACAGTAGTCTTAGTCATGTTGAAGGAACACTGTTTGCCTCATTTTAGTCTTCATTTCCTTTAACATCAGGGACTCTTTGTTGATTTGGGAGTGGCAGTTGAGTGGCACACTGATGCTTGGCTCCCTGAGCTAGGGGGACAGTCAAGGCTACTTACCTGGAGAAAGCACAGTGCTCAAGTACACTGGGTAGCATTCAGTTGCCTCAGTTTCTTATTTTCAACTCCGAGGTTGATCTTGAACTTGTATTTATCTTGCAGATATTGAAAGATGCAATGAAGAGCTGTCTGGAAAAATGCCTCTCATCAGATATAAATTCCATTTCTTTTCCTGCCCTTGGGACAGGACTGATTGAGATAGAGAAGAGTATAGCAGCCAAGATAATGTTAGATGAAATTTTAGCATTTGCCAAGAAGCATGTGAAGAAAACCCTGACTGTAAGGATTGTGATCTTTCCAGCGGACGTGGAGACATACACGGTGAGTTACCATCTTGGAGATGTCTTAAGAGTTCCTCGATTCATCACCAGTGTTGAACTAGTATCTAGTCTAAGGCGATGGGTTAGGATCCCACGATTTAATTTAATTTCTGCAAATTACCCACCCTTGACCAAAGGTCACCCTGAGCAAAGCATTGTTGAAGCTACTTTGCTTTTTTCTTTTCCTGTTGCATTTATTCTCTGTGCTCCTTAAAGGTAGGCAGCCTACTTTTGGTATAGGATCATTCTTTCTCTCCTGCCTCCTGCCTCCCACCCCCTCCTTTGGGGTGTTCCATGATGGTTTTTGTCTTGGATAGAGCTGGGTATCTATTAAAGGCAATAGACAGTTACTTATCCTAAGGCAGGCATTTGACTCAGAGTAAGGAACAGCTCTCCAAACACGCTGCTGGCCTCTCCCAGATCAGGTGTTCATCACTAGCAGGCAGAGCTGGAAGAACACTGCCACACCTTGTGCTTTGGTTCCATGTCTCAGTTTTTCATCACAGTTCAGTCAACAGCTTTGCCTAAGTGTTTCTACCCTGCAACATCTACTGCTGAAGTGACCTACCAGAGAACTGACTTTTATCCAGTGTATATGGCCTCTCTTACAATCTGTTTATCACTGGAAAATGTTAGCTCATTTGCTTTATTTCTTGGAAATAACTATGGTTAGATCAAGGGATTTTTTTAAAACCTGGAAATAGATGCTGCAAATATAGTTTATAAAGGAAATACTCTACAGAAAATGCATTGGGAGGTGGGTCTGTTGGTACATGCCTTTAATCCCAGCACTCAGGAGGCAGAGGTAGGTGGATCCCTGAATGAGTTTGAGGCCAGCCCGGTCCTCAGAGTTGATCCAGGATAGCCAGGGCTACACAGACAAACCCTATCTCCACACCTGCCTCCCAAAAAAACCCTCAAAGCCCCAGGATCTCTGAGTTTGAGGCCAGTATGTTGTACATAAAGAGACCTAGGCCATTCAAGGATACATAGTGAGGCAGTGAGAATCTGCCCAAATACACATACACACACACACACACACACACACACACACACACACACACACACACACACACTTTTTTTTTCTGAGACAGGGTTTCTTTGTATTGTTTTAGAGACTATCCTGGAATTTGCTCTGTAGCCCATGGTGGCCTCGAACTTGTGATCCTCCTGCCTCTGCCTCCTTCAGCAAATCCTACTGGTGTGGGCCACCACAACTGGCACACTTCATTTTTGAAGTACAGATAAAGATAAAGCAAAGTCTAGTCTTCTAGTCTATATCTCATCAATATTAGCATTTTTCAATAAAGAAATTATTGCCCATTGTATCAACTTTGGGCAAGAAAGGTATTGGATAACATATGTCCAAACCCCTAAGACATTTCATTTATTTCAAGTAGACCCTCTCTTAAAGGATATGCCTGGAAATAGTGACTTTTTTCTGTAGACTATAGTGCAACAATAATTACCTTATGTAACATATTGAACATTCATTATGAATCAGAGCCAGTTTTAAGTATTTTACAATAATTAACCCATATAAGACAGTTTGGTATGCTCATAACATTTAGAAGTGATCTGTATTTTTATTTGAACTTTAATGCAGTACCTACATTAATGCCTATTGAATGAATGAATGCTTATATTTTGCCTAAATTCTACTAGGTTTTGTTTTTCTTTTAATTTTACCTGTTTTCATTTCTCAAATGTTCTAATATAGTGAGTGATTCTATGACCATTTAATACATACAGTTCCTTGTGTATTATGGGGACCAGCCATAAAATTATGGTGTTGTTACTTCTTAACTGTAGTTTTGCTACTGTTATGACTCATAATGTAAATAATCTGATATTCAGGATGTCTGATATTTGACCCCAAAGGAGTTTCCACCCACAGGTTAAGAACCACTGCTCTAGTAGCTCATAGTGATGCACATGCTCTCTTGGATTGTCTAAAGCCTGCTTGTGGCCAAGGACTTGTGGTAGTGGGAATAGAGCCTAATGAGAGAGTGATGTGGTGTATGCAGACAGAAATTCTTTATTACAACGCTTGCCCTCCCTATTAATGACTGCTGTGCTTTGCTTATTTTAGGACTTTTGTGCTGAAATGATGAAGAGGTCCAATGAGCTGAGTCTCAGCAGTAACAGTGGTGAGTAAGAAATTAAGAGTCCTACAGGCCTCCTGGTACCTGGGTTGGGGCAGGAGAATCAGGAGTTCAGGTCACACTCTATTTAGGTAGCAAGTTTCAGGCTGTCCCCAGCTACATGAAAGAAAAGTGGAGTGCCTGCCCATAGATTCTGATTATAGATTCTGGTTCAGGAACTCTGGTCTAGGTCAAGAAATCATGAGTTGTAATTTTTATAAATAATAGACAATATTTTGATAATTTCCAATTATCAAAGGATGTTTTATTGATTAAAATTACAAAACATTAAACCAGTTTCAGGAGGCAAATAAGAAGGGGCAGATGGCCAAACTCCTCAGGTGGAATAGACGAGGGGAAGGTTCCTTCAGCCTGGGAGGGAACAAGAATGGCTTCCTGGACAAGAATGTGTCTTCGGTGAGCTTTGGGATGGAAAGATTTCCATCAGCCGGCAGTGGAGGGGCAGCACTTGAGATGAATGAAAGCAATAAGAGCAAACAATATACCACATATTTGGGAAATGCAATACAGAGGAACAGGTAAGAGATGGAGCTTTAGGTAAAGCTAATGTAAAAAGGGAATATAAAAGTTTTATATGTCATTAAACTGAAGTGCAGAGACAAGGGTCATCATTTATTCATTAGTTCTTGAAAATATCTGTCAAGAAATTAGAAACCACAGGAAATTAATTGCCATTCAGAATGTTTGATACAGATTGTCTTAGATTATCAAGGAAAGGTTAAACTAGCCAAGGATGAAGAGAAACTCATTTTAATTAGGAATATTTATATAATAAAGTTAATTAAATACATTTTAGTTCTTAGAAAAGTTAACACTTAATGATTTGTACAATTCCATTATTGGGAGTAATTCTTTTCTCTTAATAATGATGGATCAAGAAAGTACCACCATGTTTTTTCTGTGCCCTTCCAGAAAGTAGTGTTAATTCCTAAAAAGGATTAAAAAACTATGCCTCCAATTAAAATTCCCTTTTCACTTGTGTTGACTTCAACATTGGCTTTTATTTCAACTCAGCTCCCTAGCTCCTCCCCTCTAGTTCTATCCTGACACTTTCCAGAGCTCCTGGTTCTACCCAGCTATGATGTCAGTAGAAAGATGATACTGACTACCCTGGTGTCTTTAAATTTATTTTAGTTTTAGGAGGAGTGGGCATGTACATGTAAGTGCCTTTTGCCTTCAGAAGCCAGAGATCCCTCTAGAGCTGGAGTTAGAGGTGGTTGTGAGCTGCCTGATGTGGGTGGTAGGACTAGAACTCGAATCCTCTGGAAGAGCAATATATCTTCTTCACCATGGAGGCAATCTCTAGCCCATACCCTATTGTCTGATGATCACTGCCTAGAAGGAGAGTTGTATAAGCATTAGGTCAGATGCCCCCACCCACTACCTTGGTAGACATGATTAACTAGTCCTACAGCCATGCACAAGTTACTTAATGACTCTGAGAATCTTAAGTGACTTCATTTATAAGATGAACTAAATAGTTCCTTCTCATAGGATTGTGTGGCTTAAATAAAGTACTATGTGTAAAGCCCTTAGAACAATGTCTGGAGTAGTTCTCAACTTGCTTTTTCTCTCTTCAAAATGCATTTCTGTCCTGGGTGGTGGTGGCAAGTGCCTTTAATCCCAGCACTCTGGAAGGCAGAGGCAGGCGGATCTCTGTGAGATCGAGGCCAGCCTGGTTTACTGAGCAAGTTCCAGGACAGCCTGCAGAGCCATAGAGAAGCCCTGTTTCAAACCCCACCCCCACAAAATATATATGTATATATATGTATGTTTCTATGACTCAGTCATGTAAAGGTAATGTTTTTTCATCAGTAACATTCTATTATTGAAGGGCATCAGGTCACTTCCATTGGGCAAGTAGTTCCAATGTAAACTTTTAAGATGGCACAGTGGATAAAGGTGCTTGCTACCAAGCCCCCCCAGCTCTGTGTGTGTGTGTGTGTCTGTCTGTGTCTCTCTGACTCTAAATATTTTAACAGAATGTGAGCTTTGCAAAAGTTTTAATTTACATGAGAATGCTTGTTCCATTTTTGTATAATAGATATTTATGAGTTCTAGTTGCTCTATAGATTAGTCAACACTTAATATTGTTAAACTTCTAAGTTCCTGCCCAACTGGAGGGTAATGATTGCAGTCAAGATAAGCATGTCTTCATATAGATATAACCATAGTGTTTGTTTTCCAGTAAAACAGTTTGCCTAACTGGCTACTGGTTTGCTACTTTTTTTTAAAAAATGTGCATTGGTGTTTTGTTTACATGTGTGTCTGTGTGAGGTAACTGGATGTATAGACAATAATTTGTGAGCTGCCATGTGGTTGCTGGGAATTGAACCTAGGACCTCTGGAAGCGCAGCCAGTGCTCTTAACCACAGAGTCATCTCTCCAGCCCCTTGCTACCTTTTTCTAAAATTAAGATTATAATTAATTCTTTGAGAATTTTATACAATTTATTTTTCCCAATGCTCTCCCTAGCTCTTCCAAGAGCCACACCGCTATTTTATTTTTTTGACACCGGCTCTCATGTGACCTCAAAACCTTTATGTGTCCCCATCCTCTGGGCCCTGCCTCTCAAATGTGGGGATGATAAGCATGTTACCACTTTCAACTTCAGCTTTTCTTTCCTTACTTCCTCTGTGTAGCTCTGGATGTCCTAGAACTCACTCTGGAGACCAGACTGACCTCAGACTCAGAGAGTTGACTGCCTCCTGAAGGCGTGTGCCACCATTGCCCAGCCAGTCCCGTGCCGTCCCTGTCCTGCCCCCCTCAGGGTTTCTCTGTAGCTTTGGAGGCTGTCCTGGAACTCATTCTATAGACCAGGCTGGCCTCGAACTCACAGATCAGGATCTGCCTGTCTCTGCCTCCCAAGTGCTGGGATTGAAGGCGTGTGTCAACTGTATTTTACAAAATACATTTTATTCCTTGAATTCTGTAGCCTTTGGTGTTTTAAGTCTGGTAGGTGCAAAGATATGTCATTTAGCAGGTGAGAATAGGTAAATTTACTTAGGAATTGACAAATCACATAGCAGAGGATGGAAATAATAAATCTATCATCTTCTAAACTAGCTGATATGTTTACAAGGAGGCCATAAGCTGTGCCTGTAGATTCCCTTTATACCCATTGTAGGTTTTACAGATAGGTGTTAGGTGCTGTTGCTGACAGTGGTGTAATATCCTTGGGACAAACAGTACCTGTGATATTCTGTGCTATTGAAAAACCCACCAGTCTCTATATGTGTTTTTGGTAGTTGTTCCAGTTCCCCAGAGGACCAGAGGGGAGCAAAGAAGTGGACTTGAAGCTGAATCCCCTGCCATCAATCTGATGGGTATAAATGTGGAAGAGATGTGTGAGGCCAAAGAGTGGATTGAAAGGCTGCTGACTTCTGAGGACCACCACATTATTGAGAATAATCATATTCTCTACCTTGGGAAGAAAGAGCATGACAAGCTGTCTCAGCTGCAGACAGCCTTAGGTGTCTCCATTTCAGAGACTGTCAGTCCCCTGAAGGCAACGCTAGAGATTAGAGGTATCCAAGCTGACCTCATTGAAGCAGTAATGAATATTGAATGTATGCTGTGTGGAGTTCAGGAAGAAGTGGCAAGAAAACAGGAGAAAAGGCTTTTTGACTTGTTGGGTGAGTAATTGCGTACTAAGGTAAAAACTCTTGCTAGGCCTTGCGGCTCACCTTCAGCCCAGCACCTTCAGGTGAATCTATGAGTTTCAGGACAGCCAGGGCTATGTAGTGAGACTGTCTCAAAATAAATAGATAAGTAAAAATTAAAAGAGGAAAACACAGTTTCTTAAGTTCAAGTAAATGTCCTTCTAACCAAGGGATGAGGGAGGCCCCATTGGTGTTGGTGTTGTCGGTATCTTTGTTGTCAGGGTAAAGCTCTCTGCAGACAGAGAAGATGGGGCAGAAGCAGAAAGGAGAAAAACAGTGAACTGGAGAGCAACCTGGTCTACATAAGACCCTGTCTCAAAGCAAATGCCAGTTCTCCTAATTGTTGCTTTTGCTCATGAGTGTTGTGTTTATGGAGAACAGCCTGAGAGGGAAAAACAAGCTGTTGTGGTTCAGTGGTAGAGCAATCACCTCTTGTGATTGGGGGTGTAAATATTTTTATCTGTTCTTTGGGATTTTCATACATATATGTAGTGAATTTTGATCATATTCATCCCCATTCTTCTGCTCTAGCTCCTCTTAGGCCTCCCCAATATTTCCCTTCTAACTCCTTTTTAAAACCTATTGAGTTCCATTGGAACCCTGATAGACACATAAATCTACTGTTGTCCAATGGGGTTGAGTGGGGGCAACCTATCAGGCTGCATCCCCGAAGAAAATGGACTCTTCCTCTTTGTAGCCATCAAATACCAATTGTCCCTTAGGCAGTTCCTGCAGCCCTCTCCAATACATGCTCAGATTTTGACTGCCATGATTTCATGTGCATGTAGCCACAGCTGCTGTGAGTTCATGTTCCCAAAAGATCTGTTATATCCAGATTTTTTTAAAAGAAAAAGTCTTCTAAGGATGGCCTTGAACTTCAGATTCTCCTGTCTCTGGTTCCTAAATGCTGAGATTACTGGTCTCTGCCACCATGCCTGACCTTGTTTTGTTTTGAGATAAGGCCTCACACTGTAACTCAGGCTATCTTCCAGAAATTGACTATGTATCCCAGGTGGGCTTTGAACTCAGGACAGTCCTCCTGCCACAGCCTCCCAAGTACTGGGATTACAGACGTGAGCTACCATGTTCAGCTCAGGTCCCAACACTTACATAAATTGTGGTTTGTTTGTTTTTGGTTTTTTATTTATTTTTATTTGTCTTTTTGAGACAGGGTTTCTTTCTCTGTGTAGCTTTGGAGCCTGTCCTGGAACTCACTCTGTAGAATAGGCTGGCCTTGAACTCACAGATATCTGCCTGCCTCTGCCTCTTGAGTGGTGGGTTTAAAGTCATATGCCACCACCGTCCAGCTGTGATTTGTCTTTCAATTGTCAGAGTTGTTTATTAATAAATAGAAGCACATCTGTTGGAGTTGCTTGTGATGACATGGATTGTCTAAGAGGTGGTTACACAGAAAGCCTGTAGTAAGACCTACTAGAACCATGTAGAAAAATCAAAAACACCAAATAAAGCCCAACATGCCCAATTCTGCAAATGGAGCATTCAAATGTGGATGTATTCTACCTGTTTACTTACCTTGAGTTTTATTACATTTATATATTGCTGGTACCATTATGATCTCTAAAATTATTATTTTGAACTGTCACCAACAAAGTACTTCCTGGTATTGTGAGATATACCCAAGTACCCCTCAGTCAGTGTGATTAAACTCATTACAGTAACTGCGGGCATTTGAGCCTACAGAGACCGTTTGTGAGTCCTAGAGCCAACTAAAATATTGTCTCATTTAAAATGCCACTTTGATGGCCAACAAGATGGCTCATTAGGTAAAGAAAGGTACTTGCCATTGACCTGAGTTCAATTCCTGGGACCCATGTGATGGGAAGAATGAGCTTCCACAAGCTGTCTTCTCCATTCCCATAGGTACATCCACATCCCCACATCCACACAAATAGATAAATGTAATTTAAAAAATTTTAAGTGCCACTTTGAGTGGAAGCAAATCCTATAACCCTAGCACCCACGAGGCTGAGGCAGGAAGGCAAGCTTGCGCTAAATAATGTCTCTGACTCAAACAGAAAACTCCAAGCAAACACTAAAGACCCAATCATACGTCATAAGGGAAGACAGATTATTCCATTTATTTAGTTACCTAAGAACGTACTGCATTGTGCAGGATACTGATGATAAATAAGGTGGACATTGTTCCTGCTCCAAATCTAACAGAATACTGATAAGTGAGCAGGTGAATTATGACAGAGGAAGATAGCCATGCTCTGGAAGTACCAAGAACACCTTATACTTGGGAACCCAAGAACAGGCTTCTTGGAGGAGGCATGACAAATGGAAAGCTGAATAAGTGACAACTAACCAAAGAAAGAAAGTCTGGAGAAATAAAGAGTATAGCTGGGCAGTGTTGGCGTAAACCTTTAATTCCAGCGCTTGGGAGGCAGAGGCAGACAGCTCTCTGTGAGTTCAAGGTCAGCCAGGACTACACAGAGAAACCCTGTCTTAAAAAACAAAAGAGAACAAAAAGAAGATGAAGAGCATAGGGCTAACGAGCTGCAGTGGCACATGATGTGATTGCACTCAGGAGGTATAGGAGAAGAACTAGGAGGTCAAGGTCATCTTCTGCTGCATGGGAGACTTCAGGCCAGGCTGGGCTATATGAACACCCTTCCTTGGTTCAGCAGTTAAAAGCACTTGTTGATTTTTACGGAGGACCTGGGTTAATTTCACAGTACCCACATGGATCTCAAAAACACCTGTAACCCCAGGTCTAGGGGATCTGATCCCTCTTCTGACCTCTGCTGGCACCAGACACATGTAGGTAAAAACATATCATAAAAACTAAGATTATGTTTCTTCACATGGTTTTTGACACAATGAATCTGAATATTTAAACTGACACCAGTGTTAGCTCATGAGACCCTTGCTTAGCAGTATAGAGTCATGCAAGTCTCATGTTCTCCTGAAAAATGTCATTTTTGGTAGAAGACTAGGCATGTTGCCTCACAGCAGCATTTTGGAGGTTCAAAGAGAATCATTTTTAAATTCTAATATTCTATGGTTTGTCAACTATATGTCAGTTGATTTTCTAAAAAAAATTGTTCATTTATTTTATGTATTTGAGTGTTCTATCTACTTTATGTCAGAAGAGGGTATCAGATCCACTACAGATGGTTGTGAGCCACCATGTGGTTTCTGGGAATTGAACTCAGGACCTCTGGAAGAGCAGCCAGTGCTCTTAACTGCTGAGCCATCTCTCCAGCCCCATCACTCGATAATTTAAATAAAAACTGAACTGAGGCAGAACCTCCTTTTCTGCTGCTTTATCCTTTCTTCTGACAGTAGAAGTTTGTGAGGCTTTGTCTCAGATACCCACCCCCTGTAGAGCCTGGTCTACAGCAGGAGTTTGGTTAACATTGAATTCAAGAGCCCTGAATGCTAGTGTCACACACATTATAAATGTGAGCTGTTGGTCTCTTCCTTTGAGGTCTGGGGCTCTGGATAGTCTCTGCTGTGTTTTTGTTCCTCTTGTTTTTCTTAGATTTACCCCTTAGACCTCTATGGCGTTCCTTTGAATTTTATCCCTGCTTTGCATGGTTAAACTTCAGTCCATTTGACTAGGGATTGTGCTTCTGGTGAGTATGCTTGTTCCAGATTCAAGCCCCTCCCCCCTTGTTTATTGTTTATCTACCTGTGTGTTCAGTCAAATAAAGAGCTTCCTTGGACAAAAACAGGTGGCCTATTGAATTTAAATGGAAGGAGAGAGGGAAGAAGGGGACTGAGAAGAGTGAAGGAAACTAAGGAAGGAGGAAACAAGGAAAGGAGGGAGGGACGAGAGGAGACCATAGATGGTTCAGTTCTAAGTCTGCTCTTGCTCATACCACAAGTGACACATGTTCTTAGTAGTCTGCCGTGTCTCCTAATAGAAAACCCAAATGAAGCCAGGTTTATAAGCCAGCTTGAGATCTCTGCTTACCTACTTGGTTGTATTGGGCAAGTTGCTTAACTTCTCTAAATTTCTGCTTCCTTGTTTATAAAGCTCTACTAAGTATTTCAGTGGTGGTGTGATGAACACAAGGTAGAAAATGGACTCAAAAACCCACATGTTACATGAGTATCCTTTTATTTCCCATGCTTCCTTAGTTTTTAATTTTGTATGTGTATGGGTATGCATGCAGGTCTATGCTATGTACCATGTGCCTGCAGTGTCCACAGAGGCCAGATGAGGATGTCACATCTTTTGGGACTTGAGTTAAGATAGTTGTGAGCCACAGTGTGGGTGCTGGGAACCAAACCCAGGAATCCAGGTCCTCTGAAAGAACAAGTGCTCTTAACTGCTGAGCCAGCTTTCTTAATCTTACTTTTGAAACCTGGCTGAAGTTCAACCATTTCTTATGAGCGACATAACCATTTACCATGATTACAGCAACATAGTGTGGGGGCGGTGTAATTAACATTCCCCTTACTGTTTTTGAAGTCTCATAATCCAAATCATGAAGAACAAATTCATCACCGCTCCCTCCATTTTACCCTTTAACTTAGTGTGTTGTAGTTCTAGAACAGTTTTAGGATAGAAGTTCAGTGTCAGCAGCCCCAGGAGGTTCAGCTCAGCCACCCTTCCCAGTATGTCAACTCAGGGACAGGAGTCCTGACTAGCAGAGATTTCATTGGTTCACATTGGGACAAGGAAGCAATAAAGGGTCCCAGAACCTGCAATTTCTTCTTTTGATTATTTATGTGAGTTTTAGGTTTAATTAAAGGATGAATTGGGGGACTGGTGACATGGCTCAGCAGTTAAGAGCACTTGATATCTTTCAGAGGTCCTAGATTTGATTCCAAACACTTACATGGCCACTAATAACTCCAGTTCCAGAGGATCTGATGCCCTCTTCTGGTCTCTGCATGTATTGCATGCACACTGCTTACAATATGAATGCAGACAAACACCCATGCCCCTAAAATGACAATAAATCTTAAAAAAAAAAAAAAAAACACTTACCAGGCCATGGTGGTGCATGCCTTTAATCCCAGGACTCAGGAGGCAGAGACTGTCGATCTCTGAGTTGGAGGCCATTCTGGTCTACAGAGCGAGTTCCAGGACAGACTCTAAAGCAACAGAGAAACCCTGTCTCAAAAACCAAACAAACAAAGCAAAAGAAAAGAAAACCTTTGAAGGTAGGCAGAGAAAGCAAGCAGTCCTTGTTAAAGTTTTTCCTGCCCATCATTACTTCAGTTTGGGGTCCTGCAAAGTGCTCTCATAAATTGGTAATTGTTAAATCACAGCCATCTCTCGTGGAGAACTAACCTGTATTCCTCAAGCTCTGTCTCCATCACGGACACCCGTTCTAATCTTAGAAGTGGTCTGTCCTGCCTGGAAGACCTTGTGGTTCCTGGAATCCAAAGTGACTAAAGGTTTATGCGCTTTTAACCTTAAGATAGGTTAAATAGACTGACACTCTTATGAATAGATACGCCTATGCACTTAGTAAAAGAGACTGCCTAGCAGAGGTGGCAGGCTTCTGTCTGGTTTTTAGAGACTTACCACAAGCTGGTGAAGAGCAAGAGTTTGTTTGTTTTAAGCAGAAACAGCTCCTGCGTGCCTGGTGCAGCTCTCTCTTCTTGGATGCTGAAAACAGCACAGCATATATGCTTTCAGTGACCTGGTTTTCCACATTTTTAGATGTTTGTTTTTTGAGGCTGGGTTTCTCTGTGTATCTCTGGCTGCCCTGGAACTCACTTTGTAGACCAAGTTGGCCTCAAACTCAGAGATCTGCCTGCCCCTGCCTCCCGAGTGCTGGGATTAAAGATGTGCGCTATCACTGTCCAGAAAGAATTTGTTTCATTGAATCTCCTTATGATATTTTTTTCCTGTGTTCTCAGAGCACTGAAACAAGGTTTTTGTCTTCGTCCTCTTTTAGGACAGTGGACCGATGAGCAAGGAAAACTGGATGAAATGGAAAACTCTCACACATATCTTCGTTACCCAGCAACTTTAACTCAGGAACTTGAGGACCGAAAGAGACAGTTTGACAAGTGTGGCTTGTGGGTTGTGAAGGTATACCTAATCAAGGGAGGCTCTGGTTTATTTTGCTGTTAATTGAGTCTATAGCCAAAACAACATTCACCTGTAAAGAACTCTCAGGCAGCTGCCCAGTCACGTAGAGTCTGGAGTGAGACTGGGTTGATAGAAATGATGTCAAGACATGCAGGACCACAGATGCCGTAGCGCAGGTGGTCTGCCTATCAGTGACCACAGCAGTGGAAAGCACAGCAGTGTCTAGTCCGCTGTGCTACCACTGTTTAACTACAAACCATTAGCTTTAATGGGACACGTACTATGTCTGCATTGTTGGTCATTTTAGTACCAGTGCTGGCACATACTGATTACACAGTGGATTTGTGGTGTGTGGCAGGATGTACATGCCTGGTATGTGTGCGTTGTTGAAATGAGAGGCTTCTCCAACTAAAGCATCTCAACAATTAGCAGGGTGTGTTACTCAGAAAGCAGAAGAGCCAGCAGACTGGGTGGGGAGGTTGCCTGGTTTATATTCTACCACAGGTGGTGACTGAGTCCTTTCCCCATAGACTGGGGTCTTGCCCACAGTCTTTCTCAGTTGGCTAGCTGTGAAAGAAACCTGAAAAGGAAGTGAAGCAAAGGGGTTGGGAGTGTCAGTGCCTAAGTTACTTAAGCTCTGACAGTGCTGTCTGGCCTTTGTAAATAAAAAAGATTTACAAGCCGGGCATCGGTGGCGCACGCCTTTAATCCCAGCACACAGGAGGCAGAGGCAGGCGGATCTCTGTGAGCCAGCCTGGTCTACAGAGTGAGCTCCAAGACAGCCTCCAAAATAATACAGAGAAACCCTGTCTCAAAAAACCAGAAAAAAAAAGTTTTACAGGGGAGGGGATTGAAACATTTGCATGACAGTCTTACTAGGTAGAGGAAGATAAAAACAATTTGAATTTCTTCTCAGAAAAGACTGATATTTGATGTTTCAAATATGTGGTGGCCAGAGAACCTTGGCTGTTGTCCTTCCTTAGGACACTCATCTTCCCCAGCTCACCTTGTTTTTTGAGACAGGACCTATGGTGATTTGAAGGAGAATGGCCCCCATATGCCCTATGTTTGAATGCTTGGTCCCTGGTTGGTGGCACTGGTTTGGAAGGTTTAGGAGGTGTGGCCTTACTGGAGATGTGTTACTGGGGGTGAGCCTTGAGGTTTCAAAAGCCTGTGCTAGGCTGAGTGTCCACTCTGTCTGCCCTCTGCCTATGGATTGGGATGTAGAGCTCTTAGGTCCTGCTCTAGCACATATCTGTCTGCTTCCTGCCATGATCATCACTAATCCTCCAAAAGTATAAGCAAGCCCCCAGGTAAATGCTTTCTTTTGCAAGAGTTGCCTTGATCATGCATGGTATCTCTTTACAACAATAGAATGGCACCTAAGATAGGGTCTGATGGGGGAAGTTCTGTGTATATGTCAATAAAGCACTGTTGGCCAATAGGGAAGCAGGATGGGTGGGACTAGGAGTCTAGGATGACTCTGGGAAATGTAGTGAAGAGACTGGTTGCCATGTGATCTGGGAACAAGGGGCTGTCAGGAGTGTGTCCTCAAAAAGATAAGTTCTTTTTTTTAAAAGATTTATTTATTTATTACATTATACACCAGATTGAATTGTAGATGGTTGTGAGCCAGCATGTGTTTGCTGGGAATTGAACTCAAGACCTCTGGAAGAGCAGTCAATGCTCTTAACCTCTGAGCCATCTATCCAGCCCCTAAAAGATAAATTCTTATAAAATATATATTATTAATTATGGTTTAATAATCAAGTCAGAGCTAGCCAATAAGAAACCAAGCAAATGGCCCACAGCTTCATAATTAATATAGTGTCTTGTGTGTTATTTGGGGGCTAAAGTGCTGACGGCCCCCGGGCAGGAATCCCACAACAAGGGTCTCTCACTTTTACTTGGAAATTACTAACTAGACTAAGTTGGCTAGCTAGTGAGCCCCAGGGACCTGCTTCCTCCCCAGTGCTGGAACCACAAGCTCCTGACACAGTCATTGACTTTTAAAAATGTAGATTCTAGAGATCAAACTCAGGTCCTCAAGTTTTCAAACCAAGCACTTTACCAATTAAATGAACCATCTCCCATGCCCATGAAGTTTTATTTATTTCTTTATTTATTTTTGAGACAGAGTCACATGTAGCCCAGGCTAGCTTCATATTTGCTATGTAGGTGAGATTGTCCTTGATCTCTTTTTGATGCTCCTGACTCCACTTTTGGGAGTATAGACATATAACTGACCTTATTAAATGCACTTACTAAAACAGGGATAGATTTTGAAGAGAGAAACCAAATTAGAGAATTAAAAAGCAAAATGAATGCATTTCCATGCACATAGCACATGTATTTTCCAAATTGTGCAGGAGACAATTTAAGTCGCCGTTTTCAGACCAATCCCATTCTTGTTTTGTTTGTTTTTGTTTTCTTTGCTTATAGGTGGAGCAGATAGACAATAATGCGCTCATGGCTGCCTTCCAAGAGAAGAAGAAGATGATGGAAGGGAGAACGTCGAGAGGACCAGGGAGTCAAAAGTTGTTTCTGCAGGTCCCACATCAGTTTTGCAATGTGGTGTGCAAAGTTGGCTTTCACAGACTGTACTCAACACCTCCAGGTAGGTATCGGCCTCATCCTCAGGGCTGCCTACATGGGCGGGGCAAGGAGACAGTGTACAGCTGTGGGAAGGGATTCTTTGCCACTGACCTTTAGAGGCAAAGTCTTTTGGAAATGGTTGGCATCTTATCCTTTGTTGGTGACTGTTACTTTGATGCAAGTGTGAACAGTAGGATATATGGTTGAGGTTTTAATCTCATTCTTGTTTCTGTGTTCTGTCTGCAGAGAGCTCCTTGGGGTGTCACTGCTTTGCCCTTTTCATCTCAACAAAACTATCAATACCAGCCCCTCATTCCTTAGTTAGAAGCACATTTACTTACATTTAAGACACTTGTGATTTGCACCTGTCTCTGGCTTATGTCTGTTTTGTTTGTAAGACAGATATGTGGTCCTGGCTGGCCTGAAACTCAGAGATCTGCCTGCCTCTCCCTTTCCCAATAGTAATTGGGATTAAAAGCGTGTACCACTGTGCTCAGCCCTTTCATCCTCTATTTCCAGTGAAAATCGGTATAGCTTTGCAGGTGAAGTGTCCCTTCTTACTGATTAGCTGATGGTATGAAAAGAATTGGGATAACTGTAGTGATAACTCCCATTTTGAAAGAGGAGGGGGAAACTTACTTACCATGTGCTGCTCGACAGAAATAAGGAGCATTGCTCACTCAGTCAAGGAAAACTCTCCCTTACAGCCTTGGTTCATTTCTATGTCTTCTGCATAACCAGGAGACTGACCTTGCATTGCCTCACGTAGCCAGATTACCATTTTCAGCAATAGAATTTCTTAAAAATTCAGCAAGCTCAGTGGTTCAGGGCTCTTGTTGCTCTTGTAGAGGACCCAGGTTTGATTCCCAGGACCTTCATGGTGGTTCACAACCATGGGGAACTCCAGTTCTGGGGATTTGATGCTGTCTTCTGACCTTCTCAGGTACCAAGCACATAAATGGTGCACACATATTCATGTGGGCAAAACCACTCACACATAAAATAAAAATGAATAAATCAAAAATGTTAAAAAAGCCCAGTAGGCAGAAGTTAAGAGCAGGTGTTCTTCCACAGGGGCACGGTTTGATTCTCAGCACCTACACGGTGACTTACAACCATTTGTAACTCCAGTCCCAAGGGGGATCCATGTCCTCTTCTGGCCTCTGTGGGCATTGCAGGCACATGGTACATACACATACATATAAGCATTTACACTGACACACTCAGTTTATTTTTTTTTAATTCAGCAAATAGAACTAATTTGAGGTCAAGTTGATGTCTTCATAATGCCACAAGAGGACACAGGATCCCTTTTTCAGGATGGACTCTGCAGGGAACTCAAAGACTACTTCCCTGGAATGAGACAAAATAGGGCAGGCAAGCTAGCTGAAGTCTGTGCTGGTTTAGCAGAGGGAAGTGGAAATAAAAGGACTGTCACACATGCTGAGCTACAAGTCAAGACTGCAGGCAGGCTCAGCAGTGGGAGTCTGCATTCACGGGACAGGACACAGTGGGGACAGGTGAGCTTCAGACAAAGTGAGGTGTTTAGTATCAGGACAGACAGGCTTAGGGGGTAATAAGCTGGGGAGAGGGAATGTTACAGTTTCTAGGTCAGAACTAGTTACATGTCTTTCTACCAGCTAGAAGAGAGGACTTTCAAACTGAGAAAACTTCTCTAAGAGCATCATGCTTTATTTTCCTGTTGGTTATAGTTTAAAATCAAAACAGAAAAACGTTCTCAGACTTTCAGGTTCTTAAGACTTTGGTTGCAAAAAAATATTCTCAGGAAATTAAATTATGGAAGCTAGAGTTTATCATTTTCTTATGAATTAAAAAATATATGCATATGAATATATAGATATGTATTTTATACATTTATATGTATATTTAAGAGGTTTTGTTCTAAGTTTTACCTCTTTTTGCCCTCAAGGCAATATTCAAAGAGAGTCTCTGGCAAAGAAAAATTCATTTTTAATCTCAGACTATTATCATTTTGGCACATAGATTATTTTGCACTGTATCTACTATGCTTATAATGTAGGGAGATTGTGATGTTTTGAAAACAGAAATACTACCATAGCCATTTATCACTCCATTAAGTGTGGCAGCCTCCAGCCACACATGACTAGGAAACATGAGATGTGGCTAATCAGAATTGAAATGCATTATAAAGATAAATAAAATAGATACAGGATTTCAAGCCTACAATAAATATCTCCCCAGTGAATTTTTAAAAACTTTTTTAAAGGTTTATTTTATGTTTAGTAGTGTTTTGCCTGCATGGATGTATGTACACCATACCATGTGTGTACCTGGTACCTGTGGAGGTCAGAAGAGAGGCTGGATTCCCTGGAAATGGAGATAGGGATGCTTGTGAGCCACCGTATGGGTTTAGGGAACTTGTCTGAGTTAGGGTTTCTATTGCTGTGAAGATAAACTATGGCCATAGCAACTCTTATAAAGAGATACATTTAAATGGTGGTGGCTTACAGTTTTAGTCCATTATCATCATGGCAAGAAGCTTGACACTATGCAGGCAAATACAGTGCTGGGGGAGGAGCTGAGAATTCTGTATCTTCATCCTCAGGCAGCAGGAGACTGTGTGCCACCCTGGGCATAGGTTGAGCATATATGACCTCAAGAAGTTTTAGTGTGCTGAGGAGTGAACCATGGCTTTTTGATGCTAATCCATATCACTAAGCTGCATTAAGTCCCTCTGCAGTAAAAGGCAGTTTGACTCTTAGTCTTAGAGGGCTTGGGTTTGCTTGTTTTCATTTCTGTTATCCTGTTGTTTTGCTGTTTGAGACAAGGTCTTCCTATATAGTCTCAGTTTGCCTTGAACTCCCAACCCTCCCACATCAGCCTTCTGAGTGCCAGGATTACAGATATGTACCACCTCTTGAGTGTTGTTAATATCCCAGAATCTATAATATGATGGATGTTATACTAGAATGGAGACTATCCATCTCTAGTAGTGGGAATAAAGCATCACCTTATTACTATCATAGTCTCCAGAATACCTGATGGGTGGAAATTATCTAGTCAGTATGAATCTAGTTCAAGACAGTGGAGGATACTTAGTGAGGCATTGTGCCAGGCCACAGTAAGAAACCAGCGTAACCTTGTTTTCGAGGGATAATGTAAGGACTGTGCTCTCCCTAACCAGCTTGCTCTTCCTGAATATGAAGCAAGCATTTGCATCTTTTTTCTCTTACACTCTCCATGACTCTGACTTCTTGCCCGCTCCCTTTGTCTTTTTTGATTTTCATGCTGTGTATGTGATCCTCCTGCTCTAGTGCTGCCTGTTCTAACTGGACGATATTTCAAATCTGTTTTCTCAAAAGCTGTAGAGTTATACCTATTTGGAGCCTGTATAGCCAGCTAGTGTCATAAGAACAGACTTCCTTACTGCCTGGTTAATAATGACTTTAATCATAATTCATCCCAATCCTAGATTTTCATGGTTTAGATGAAAATGTTATTCAAGTTACAGATTAATTTACTCTAATCAATGCAAAGTTGCTTTGAAACTAGTGACTTCTCTGTAAATTCTAATGATGTATTCTAATGTAAAACAGTTGTTGATGGTACCATTGATATTGTCTCAGGAGCAACTTAGGGTGGAGGAAATTATGTGAAGGTCTAGAGAGAAAATACATATTAGCACCCAAATAGACATCATCTATTAGAACATAATTTTTTTTCTCTTTCAGACCCAGTTTATGGAACCGGCATACATTTCACCAAGAACCTCAAAAAACTAGCAGACAAGGTCAAGAAGACCTCTAGCACAGACAGACTAATCTATGTGTTTGAGGCGGAAGTGCTCACAGGCTCCTTCTGTCAGGGCAATAACTTAAATATTACCCCACCGCCGTTGAGTCCCGGGGCCTTAGATGTTCATGACAGCGTGGTTGACAATGTTTCTAAACCTGAAACCATTGTCGTTTTTAATGGCATGCAGGCAGTGCCCCAGTATTTGTGGATTTGTACACAGGATTGGACACTGTCACAGCACCAAATGTGGGGACAGGACTACTCATCAGGTCTAGCGATGGCCTCTTCACCACACTCCTGGTAGGAGGTCTCATATGGCAGCACTGATTAGTCTGTATATCATTATAACAACCAGTAGGGTTTGGGTGAATTGACAAAACAATGACTGTCAGTGACTTGGAGAGTGGCTTAAACATAACAAATTATCTGCTCAGAATGACTGGGTTACTAAAGGCAACAACCACATACTAGTGTCTTACTGCCTTCTTTACCAGTGGGCTTGGGGTGGATAGATGACAGCTAAAACTTATTCCTGACTCTCTCTTCTCCTTGAAATCCTTCATCTCCTTTCCTAGGCAACAGCAAGAATATTTTACATGTAACTAAATACCCTTTTCTAGTAAGTAAAACCAACTAAAAAGGTGATAGTATAAAATAGGACAACGGAATAATCTTAGGTTTCTATATAATTTTGTAAAGTGCTTTGGATATTCAAATAAATCACTTTTGTGAGTAACTGGCTCTGAGTAATTATTTGGGAAATGAAATAATGCGAACTGAAAGGACATCAAAAGATTGATACTCAGTTTGGATTCAGTTCTATCAAACAGTGTCACCCAGTACAAACAAAACTCCACTGCCGCTCATCCACCATGTGGCTTAAGTATTAACTCACGAAGCATTTACTGGTCACCGCAAGTGCTCCATCCACTTTGTGGATGCTCAGCAAGACCCTGAAAACCTCTTATCCTGAATAATCAGAAAGGCAGCTATGGACATGTGAACAAATATGAGTAGGTATAACTAAAGGAGGCTATCAGAGTCTTTGGAAAAAAATTAAGTGACCTGAGTGAAAGGGGTAAACTAAACTCAAAGGATTCACTTCTAATAATTTAGAAATAAAGGGACCAGACCCTCACTTAGCCCCTGCATTAGCAGCCATAACAGGTTATAGAAAAGACACATAGGCCTCTGACACAAGGAAACTCCAGATCCTCTGGCCTCCCGAAGCCTAGGGCCAAAACTGAACACAGAGAAACAGGCCACCTGCAAGTAACAAGACAATGCCATAGAAACCACAGAACGTTCCCTCTCAGCACTGACAATGAAAATAATTGGTACACAGGTATTTCATGCCAAATTAACGACTTTGAGAAACTCTCCTAGTTGTTCCCAGATGTCAACCAATCAGAAACCAACCCGTACCTACTGATGTAATCCTGTAACTTTTGTCTATAAAACCTAGCAGTACTCAGGGAACTTCACTCCCTCTGAGGCTGCTACCTCAGCTTGCTAGACTGGTCCCTGTCATGGTTGGATGAAGACTCATTAAACCTTGCTTTTGCAGTTTGGTGGGTCTCTCTTCCTGGTGGTCTCTGGGGACTTTGAAACCTGGGCACAACACTGAGAGCAGCACAAACGAATCAAGGACTGGAGGAAGCTTCCCAAAGAAACAGTGACAAGACGGTAAACTGAGGGCAGAGCTGGAAATGTGTTGCAGGCAGAGTATAGCTCTTATAAAGAATGAATCCACTTCCATTGGGCCCAAACTTAACACACTATTTGTAATAGAGGGGCTAATCGTGCCACCTATGTATTGCCTATTTCCAAGACCACATTGACCTGTACTTCTAAACCCTTTACCTCTCACTCTTCAATATCTCAGAAGAATATTCCCTTCTGGTTTTACTTTAAGCTGTATTCTCTTTGTAAGAAACATGTTTATTTTATCACATGGTCCTGTCTAGGAATCCTGGCAAGAAAATTTCTGCTTTAGACGATTGGCTTGTAAGATTGCCTATTGTGGTCCCTTGTTTGAGAGATCTTATTCTAGGTTTGCCATAGCTGGTTCCATCAATGCAAGAATCCACATGCCTAGAGCCTGCAGTACTCACTCCTGAGCCAACCATTAGGTATCTGGAAACCTCAAATTTCCTGCTTAAGGAGTTCTGAGTCCATCTGCAGAACACATTTGGGTCTCTTTCTTGCCTCTCCCCAAAACAGACTATGTTGCAGTTAGGTGATTGGAATGCTTACCTAGCCTATGTGAGGCCATAGAGATTGAACATCTCTAGTACATACACATTTATGAAAAGATGTGGGTGGGCTGTTGGTGATGTGGCTCAGAAGGTAAAGTCACTTGCTGTCAAGTCAGATGGCCTGAGTTTGATCCTGGGATTCCCATGGTTGAAGGAGAGAGCTGACTCCTGCAAGCTGTCCTCTGACCTCCACACAAAACTCCTTCCAATATAAGTAAATGTAATAGTAATGAAAAGAAAGAAGGGCCCAAGGGTGAGAATCGTGAGGACAAAGGGCTGAGTGTGTTGACTGAGGTATCCACACTCGTGTGTGAGGTCTGTGGTACCAAGCTGAGAGGGAGAGGACAGGTCATCTGTGAAAAACCCATGGAACATGGCCGGGGTGGTGGTGGGGGTGGTGGTGGTGGTGGGGGTGGGGGATGGGGGGCTGACTGAGCTGTTCAGTGAGGCACAAGAGAAAAGACTAACAGTTTGAAAATAGAATTAGTTCTACACTGGTAAATGTGTCCCCAGAATAGGGTAGGCAAGTTAAAACAAACTTCCTAAATTTCTTCAAACTGCAAACTTACTTAAAATTTAACTATAATTTTGCAATTTCAGTTAACATCTGTGCTTAACAGCAATTTTCTTTGTAGAAAGAGGTTTTACACATGGTAGGTATTGTTGTTATTATTATTTTGTGGTCCTATGGACTGAACTTACAGCCTTAGGCATGCTAAGTAAGCATTCTACCACTGACTATATCCTAGCCCTAGAAAAGATGTTTAAGTTATGATGGCACACAATGTGTATCAGAGCGTTTTTTTTTGTTTTTTGTTTTTTTTTTGGTTTTACAAGACAGGGTTTCTCTTTATTGTTTTGGATGCTGTTGGTTCAGCCTGGCCTGGAACTCACAGAGATCTGCCTGCCTCTGCCTCCCCAGTGCTAGGATTAAAGGTATGGGCCACCACTCCCGGCCATTATTTTTCTTTAGTAGAGATAACACCTGTCTGATTAGTTCTGTGACCATGCCTATATTCTTCTAATAGTCTTTAAAGTATAGAATAAGAGGCCGGAGCTAGGACTTCGTTGGTAATGTGCTTACCTAACATGAAGACTTGGGCTTGATTTCCTAGCACCATGGCATAAAATCAGGTATGAAAGAAAGAATATAGAATAACATATCCTGCAAAATTAAACATGCAATGAAGAATTAAGTCCCATCCTTGAAGCAAATGGATAGATATATGCATTATAAAATATTGCCACATTTTTGTTATACGTGTTACTTATTATTGGTTCTTCCTCTCATTATTAGCTGCCATTTGTAACCAGTCCTGTTGCCACTTTGCTTTTAGTAACAGGATATATATAACAGAAAAGAAATATGCTAGACTGTATAATTCCAAATAAATATCTACTTTTTACATTTACATGTAAGTAATGACATAATCTACATTTGTATTTTTTTTATTTCTATACCTGTTAGGTTGGCACTTTTTTCTTAACAGTTTCGAGCTTGCAGAGCTTTTCATTTGGAGATGGTGTCTCACCATGTAGGCCAGAGATCCTCTTGCCTCTGCCTCTCAGAGTGCCCACCTGTGTGCATATGTGTGGGCAATCTCAAATGTGGCTCCTCAGCAGCAGCTGTCCACCTTGGTTTGTGTGTGTGTGTGTGTGTGTGTGTGTGTGTGTGTGTGTGTGTGTATGTGTGTGTGTGTTTGAGACAAGGTTTCTCAGAGTGTTCTGGGGATGTTAATTAGGTCATTAGGTCAGGCTGGCTGACCAGCAAGCTCCAGGAATACACCTGTTTCTGCCTCCCCAGAGCTGGGATTCAAAGCCTGTGTCAACACACCTGGCCTTTGCTTAGATGCTGGGGACTGAACTGAGGTCCTCAGACTCTAGTGGCCAGTACTGTACTGACTGAGGTATCTTTCTACTCTCAACCTGCAGTTTTCTTTGTTTTAAAAACTGTATCCAGGTAGTAGTGGCAAATGCCTTTGATCCCCGCACTTGGGAGGCAGAGGAAGGTGTATCTCTTGTGAGTTTAAAGTCAGCCTGGTTTACAGAGTGAGTTACAGAACAGCAAAGGCTAGACAGAAACTTTGTCTCAAAAACACAAACAAAACAAAAAAATTGGTCAGTTGAGTTTAAAGCCAAAATGAAACAAAGCCAAAAATATGAGAATAAAAGTAGTAACATACATAAAATGAAAAGTTTACAAATAATTGAAAATAGCTGCAAGATAAATACCTATAAATTTATGTTCCAAATGTTAGCAAATATGTATATAAAATGGAATCTTATATACTATTTGTAGACTATAACTTGGTGAAATAACCCAGCAATGTCCAGTGTGTATTAGTTTAAGTTTGCTATTGCTATGTAATGGAGTAGCACAAACCTAGTGGCTTAACACCCATGTATTATCTTGGAGTTTCTTTTGGCCAGGAGCATGTTCAGAGCTTACCTGGGCCCTCTGCTTAGGGCCTATCAAAGTGACAATAAAATACATGTTCCTCACATATGAAAGCTTAAGTCAGGAAGAGTTTGCTTTCAAGCTCACTCAGGCTGTTAGGAGAGTCCATTCCCTGTGGTTATGTGACTGCAGGTTCTAGATTCTTACTGAATGCTAGCTAAGGGCTATTCAGGTCCTAGAAGCCATTTGTAGGCCCTACCAGGTGGCCTCCTTTTTTAATTAATTAATTTATTTTAAATTTTATATGCATTGGTGTTTTGTCTGTATGTCTGTCTGTCTGTGTGAGGGTGTTGGACCCCCAGGAACTGGAGTTATAGTTGTGAGCTTCTATGTGGGTGCTGGGTCCTCTAGAAGAATAGCCAGTGATCTTAACTACTGAGCCACCTCTCCAGTTCCTACCAGGTGGCCTTTTATAGGCAAGTGGCAACATAACAAGTAGTTTCTTTAAAGCCAGCATGAATATTTAGTTTCATATCACATGAAGTATTCCATAATGAAATGTTAGGACAAGAAGTCTTCTACCATTCCAGTTCTATGTGTTGGCTAGGAATAAGTAAGGGTCCTATAGACTTTCAAGGGTGGGGATTATACAGAACAGCACCAGGTATCATCGATCATGGGGTTATTTTAGAATTCGCCTACCACATCTAATGATATTAAAGATGCAATGTCCTGGGGCTGGAGAGATGGCTCAATGGTTAAGGGCAGTTATTGCTCTTGTAGAGGACCTGGGTTTGGTTCCCAGCACATGTGAACTCCCACATAGCAGCTCAAACTTCACAATTGCCAGTAACTGTAGTTCCAGGAATCTGGTACCCTCTTCTGAACTCCACAGGTACCAGGCATGCACACGTATGGCATACATAAACACAGGCAAAATACTCTTAGACATTTTTTTTTATTAAAAAGGCGGTATATATACAAGAATCTTCGTAGGCAGCCTTCGGTGGCACACGCCTTTAATCTCAGCACCCAGCAGGCAGAGGCAGGTTGATCTTTTTAAGTTCGAGGACAGCCTGGTTCTACAAAGCAGATGCCAGAACTGTCACACAGAGAAACCCTGTCTGAAACACACACACACACACACTGTTCTTTAATTTTTGTATTTTTCACAATACAAAAATGGTCAGAAACATTGTGATATCAATTTTGTACAGTCAGCGTGTAAAGGTATTATGCTTCCAACATGTAGTTGATTTGCACCATCCATTCCACCACTAAAAACAACAACAAAAAAACAACAGCAGAAAATACTAAAATCATTAATGAAGAGGTACCAAGGTAGTCAAAAATATGGAAAAGAGCCTTACATTTGCCATTGCTTTTCTCAGCCTGAGGTGACTGCTGATTCTAAAAGCAAAGGCTAGGACACTGAGTAGAGCTTTGGCTGTCTCATGCAGTTAAGAAGAGACCCTAGTGGATAGATACTGTGACTTTCGGTTGGGACTCTTAAGGACCATACCTGACTAGGAGTATGGGTGGATTAGGAATAAACCAGCCTCCACGAAGACTACTCTAAATAATGAGTCTCAGCTTCCAGTAAGGATCAGACAACAACTCAGGTATGGTCAGGTACACCTGCCCATTTTAGTTAGGGTTTCTATAGCTACAGAAACACAATGATCAAAGAGCAAGTTGGGGAGAAAGGGTTTATTTGGCTTACACTTCCACATCTAAGTGCATCACTGAAGGAAGCCAGGACAGGAACCCCCTACAGGCAGGAAGGTGGAGGCAGGAGCTGACGAAGAGACCAGGGAGTAGTGCTGTTTACAGCATTGCTCAGCAGGACTTATTCAGCCTGCTTTCTTTTTGTTTGTTTTTGAGACAGGGTTTCTCTGTGTAGCCCTGGTTGTTCTGGAAGTCACTCTATAGACTAGGTTGACCTCGAACTCACAGAGATCCCTCTGCCTCTGCTTCCTGAGTTCTGGGATTAAAGACATGCATCATCACACCTAGTTTCAACCTGCTTTCTTATAGAACCCAAGATCACCATGTCAGGGATGGCACTACTCACATGAGCTGGGCCTCCCCCATCAATCACTAATTAAGAAAACACCCTACAGCTGGATCTTTTGGAGGTTCAACTTTTCTCAATTGAGGTTCCCTCTTTTCAGATGACTCTAGCTCCTGTCAAGTTAAAAGCAGGACAGCACATTGGTCCTAAGTCTTTCTGACAGAACACTTTCTTTTTCCAGCTCCCTTAATCAAACTTAGCTCTAATTGTAATAAATAAACACTCTGATGCAGAAGGGAGTCACAAGAGGGAGGGAAGGATGGAGGGAGGGACGAATATGTTCTAGTTTGTTTTCTATTGCTGTGATTGCACTAACCAAAGCAACTTGGAGGCAGGCATTCCAGCTCTGAGGGAAGCCAGGGCAGGAATTCAAAGCAGGAACCTGGATGAGTAACTGAAACAGACCATGGAGGAAACTGGCTCATTCTCAGCTTGCTATCTTATACAGCCCAGGGGTGCCACAGTCCACAGTGGGCTGGGCCCATCATGAGTCAGGAAAATGCCTCACAGACAAGCCCACAGGCCAGTCTGATGGGAACAATTCTCCAATTCACGTCCCCCTTACTAGGTGACTCTAGTTTATGTTAAGTTTATTAAAACCGCTACTGGAGCCAAGACAAACGATCATTGCTCTACCTAGGATTCAGTCAGTGTGGTCCTTTCTCTCCCTGTTTCTTACATTTATAAAGCTATGACACCGTCTGTTGCTCTTCAGCATCCCTTTTAAACGGACTCGTTAAACCATGTCCTGTATGTGACATTCTCCCGTGACCTCTGCTTGGCTTGCTTAACGTGTTCTTTCGAAGCCACAACCCTACTCTCCAGAAAGAAAATCATTTTCCTAAACATTTTGTTTGAGAGAACTTAGCCATCTCAAAGTCAATGTTTTTACTAAAAATTATTATTATCGAGACAAGGTCTTCTTATGTAGTCATGCCGGTCTAGAACTCGCCATTCTCCTGCCTCGGTCTTCCTACTGCTGGGAACACGGGCATGCATTACCAAGCCAGGATAAAAAACTAATTTGTTAATGTTTTGTGGTACTAATAAATTACTAGGCAAAATGGGAAAGAGTCGGAGAGAATACCCAGAAGGTTCCTGTAAAAGAGTTGCGTGTGAATTCTTTGAACGCGAGACACTGACGTATTTTGCAATACTCCCCCAGCCTCCAACCATGCCACCGTTCGTCCAATAAGCGTGCTCGGTGTGAGGTACTTACCATGAGAGAGGGTAGCCATGGAGATGTGAGGGGGGATCCGTCCATTCTAGAAGACTTAGTAAGGACAAGTTTGTTTCCATAACTTCTACACGTCTCTACTCTAACAGACTGCAAACCTCGCCCTCAGGGACCCACGCCCCGGCCGCGTCCACTTGGCAAAGATCGCTTCAGAGACTTCGCTTCCCGGCATCCCCCGCGGCGGGAAGGCGCACGCAGGCGCGCAGGCCGGCCCCCGCACGCAGGCGCACTGCGCACGCCGGCTGAACTGGGTCTCGCGGCTCGGTGCGCGGCGGCGGAGAGCGAGGCCTGGTGAGCGCCGCCGTGGTGCGCGCCGGCTGCTCAAGCTTGTGCGCGGAAGAGGCGCAGCAGGCGGACAAGGAGCGAGCGACTCAGCCTCACAGCGGCCCCGGGACCGATCGCCTGGAGCCGGTGAGTGGGGGGCTTCCCCGCGGCCCCTCCCCCTCGGCGGGCGGCTCTGGGTTCCCTCCGCGGACCCTCGGGAGGCCCCGGGGCGAAGGCGGACGCGGGCGGCGGCCGGAGCTGTCGCTGTCGCGCCGGGGACCGGACCTTCGCGTCGCTCCGGTGCGTCACGGGATTGGCGTTTCTAACGGCCGCGCGGCGGCGACGGAGCGGGGTGGGGGTGGGGATCGCTGCCGTGAGGAACGCCGGTCGGGGCGGGGCGGCGGTGCATACGGTGTCGGGGACTGCGGGGCGGCGGCGCGGAGTCTGCGCGCCGCGCTAGCTCGAGGGCGGGGGCGGAGGCGGGTGACTCGGGGTGCGGTGGCCCAGGCCCAGGCGCGCGGGGCCGTTCCGGGAGTTGGCAGGTTACCGCCCGTGCCGGTGTTTGGAGGGAGGCGGTGGGGGTGGAGACGGGAGGCTGCAGTTTACAGATGTCATAACTACGCGGGCCTGGAGCTGCTGACGGGGGTGTGGTAATTATAGCAATGACAACTTGGTCGTCTGTGTGCGCCGTGGTGCGAGGGAAACCGCCAAGCGTTAGCTGAAGCTCGCAGTGGGTGCAGAAAACGGGAGGATGACTGAAGTCAGGGATGTCGGCAAGAAAGAACGAGAGGGTTGAATGCCACTGCTTCGGATCCACTTTGCAAATGAATTGATTTTAAGGCTTAAACTTCGGTTTGGTAAACTACTAACAGAATCAATAACCGAGAAATGCTTTTGAAATAGTGCATGAAAACTAACATCTATCCTTGTTTTTCTTCTTAAAACAATTCTTTCAAATCCCACCTCCCTCCCACTCCCTGCATCCATCCCTCCCTCTCTCTTTCCCTCTGTCTCTGTCGCTTGTCTCTCTTGTGAGGCTGGGTTTTGCTTGGTAGGCTGTCTTTGAACTTGTCATGGCCTCCAGGGTGCCAGGATTTCACACCAAGAAGCCCGGCTCAAAATTTCCATCATCCTAGATGACTAAGTAGGTAGTATTCCCACCTACTTGTTGCAATGGATACACAGTCAGCCCATAGTTGCCTTCAATTTAGAACTGTCCTGCCTCAGCCTCTCAAGTGTTGGGGTTACAGGAACATGCTTGACTGACTCATACATATTCTGAGTCAGGGTCTCATTGCATTTCCCTGGCTGCCCCTGGAACTCCTATATAGACCAGGCTGTCTTTGAACCTAGAGATCCACCTGTCTCTGACTCCTGGAATTCTGGAATTAAAGACATGTGCTGTCACACCTGACCTTCCTCCATTTTAAAGGCTCAAAGGTCTAAATCTTTAAAGGAAATTGAGAGTGAGTTAGCTGTGTAGTTTTTGCTGAGATAATTTATTTTTGGTTACTTTTTATGTGAATTTTTTTAAAGATGGAATATTTAAGATGGAGGCCTGAGAGGAAGTAAAATAAAAGCAAATTTACAGTAACTTTGAACTGGATGTTAACTTTTCCTAGTATGGATGAAAGCATGAAGTGCACTTAACTGCTGAACCACCTCTCTCATTCAGAAATTACTGGAAGAAGATGGTATGACTCTTGAAATCAATGCTACTCATTGATTAAAAAGAGTAAGAACTAGTAGCTTGTGTCCATAATACTAGCATAACACTTGAGAGACAGAGGCAGGAAGATCTTGAGTTTGAATCCAGCCTGGGCTTGACCTTGTCACAAGCCAAGAAAGCACAACCTATAATGGGGCTGTAGTTGACCCACAACTTTACCAAGAGCCTGACAAAATCAAACCTGAAAAGCCTCCAGTAAAGTAATGAGAATAAAGACATTACCTGAAATCAAGTATTTGAATTGTGCTTTTTTTCCTTTGTTTGAGACAGGGTCTCTCTGTAGACTCAGCAGTCTGAGAATTTTGTAGAGTAGGCTGAACTCAAACTCACAGATATCCACTTGCCTCTTCCTCGAACGTGCTGGAAGTAAAACTATGTCCCACTATGCCAGGCCATTATGCACATTTTATTTTGTGTTTGTGGGGCCAGGGATCCACTTCCTAGACTTACACACACTGTTAGTGCTCTGACATAGGACTATGTCCCCGGTTCTTGTATTATGTGTTTTTTGGTGGTCTTCATGGAATGTTATATATCTTGACTTTTATCTAGAATTGACATATGCCCAAGGGGAACCACAAAAAAATAAAACAAAACAAAAACCTTTGTTGCTTGTGGTAACTTAATTTTACAATTTTTTATGTGTGTGGCGTGTATATATTCGGATTGCAAGCACATGACTGTCCAGCTTCCTGTGCTCATGTGTGTGTATGTGGAAGCTAGAGAAGGACTTTGGGCATCTTCCTCTGTTGATTTTTTTTCTTTTTTGGTGGGTGGGCCTTACTGCCTTGAGAAAGGGTCTCATTGAAGCTGGTTTGACTTGTCAGCTAGGCTAACCTGCTGGCAGTTGAGCCCCAGGGATCTGCATATCTGCTTCTAAAGCTGGGCTGCAGCTCTGTGCATCCATATCCCCATGTTTTTATTTGGGTGCTTGACAGTAAGAGCTTACCCACTAAGAGCTCTTACCCACTGAGCAATCTCCCCGACCCTGGCCTTTTCTTTAAACATTTTTTATCTGTGTGTATATGTGAGTGTATGCTGCATGTGTGGGGTTGCCTGTGGAGGAGGCCAGAAGAGGGTGTTTTGGATCCCATGGAGCTAGATTGGCATACTGGCAGAAGTCAGCTGTCTAATATGGATGCCGAGAACCAAATTGGGTCCTTTGGAAAAACAGCAAACTTTCTGTACTGAGCTATCCTTTCATCCTTGACTTCTTTTTTCTTTCTTTTAAAAAATTTTTTTAAAGATTGCCTTTATTAGGCTAATGCTTTGTAAGCAGGCTTGTTTCGGTGTTGACAGGTAGGCTCAATGGGTTCAATTTTTGTAATTGTCTTCAGTCTCAATTATGTCATACATTGTTTTATACCAGTCATTTCCTGGGCTGTTTTTGCTGTTCTTTCTGGTGCTTTCAGTGTTTTATAACTTTACCTTTTCCCATAGAGGGAGGTTAAGATATATCTTGTCATTTCTAGGGTTAGCACCAGTACTTGGGAGGTGGAGACAGGATATTCAGAGTTCAAATCATCCTGAGCACAAAGTGAATACCTACCTGGCCTCCATGAAACAAAACAAAAGTCAAGACCTCTGCTTGGCTAGATGACTGACTTACTAATAAAGGATAATCCCTTAATACTCTTGTTAGCTTTGTACTTTGTTGGGATTGTGAATTTAGGTATAATTAATAATCATAATGTTGACTAGCAATTCATTTAGCTGAATTGCGTTGATTTCTCCCTTGATGTACTGCAGATGGGACTTTCATTAGAAAGATTGTGAAGTAGTGCATTAAAAATGTGGGAACAAGAACTGATGAAATGTAGTTTCTGTTTTTTAAGACCTTAACAACACTGCGAAAATAGACCTAAATGAGAAAAAAAAGGATTCTGTCCCAATGTTGTAGACTAATTGGGATAATTCTTGAGAGCTGGCAATAATCCAGAATGTGGATCATGGGGGTAATCCTCATCCTATAACAAGAATAACGCTGCCCTTCTTATACAAAGATAAGTCTGCTTGCTCATCATGAATGGTTTTCCAGCACCAACAAGGATATGTGCTGAGTTGTCCATGTGTCCATTCTCTTATGCTTTGTGACCAACAAGACAGCTTGGGGTCAGGACGAGGGCTTCTAACTGAGGAATAGAAAGACTCACAGAAAGTAGTAAAATTCATTATGGGTCAACCCTGTCCACATCAGATACTTTTCAATAATTATCCTTGCAAAACCTCTTGAGGGAGGAGGTTGCCCTGCTGCCTGATTAGGTAACTTGCCCCACTTCAGGCTAATTGATGGGGCAGAGAATCAAGTCGTAAGGCTGTTCATAATTACTTATACCAGTCATTAAAGCTTGGCTTTTTCAGCAGTTTAGTTTTTATTTACATCAGAACAAACTGGAGGCTGAATTTATTTACAGTTAAGAGATTGTCTTAAATTCCTTGTTTTATGACCATTAAAATTACCTGAGTTTTAAAATAAGATAACAAAAAACTGCCACCCCTGTTCCAGTCTCTGTACTTTAGATGATACATACTTTTTCTCTTTTAAATGTTGCCTCACTTTATATTTGTAAATACCTTTGTTTTATTGCCTCCCTCACTGTGGTTTAAATTTATCTCTAATGGTCTCACTGTGTAGTCTGGAACTCGCTCTGTAGTCCAGGCTGGCCTCACATTCACAGACCTTGAACTCAAATTGATCCACCTGTCTTTGCCACCCAGAGTGCTGGGATCAAGGATGTTCGGCACCATGTGTAGCACCCACCACCACACTCACTCCTGGTTGTCCTGGAACTCACTCTATAGTCCAGGCTGGCCTCGAACTCACAGAGATCTGCCTGCCTCTGCCTCCCAAGTGCTGGGATTAAAGGCATGTGCCACCACTGCCTTTATTTCTTTATGGAATAATTTTACTGTGGCCTTTGCTCAGTGTAAAATATTCCTTGGTGTTACTTTATTACCTCCACATAAACTTAAGCCTGCCCCTCCCTTTTCAATATAGTTATAGTATCTGCCACTATGCCTAAATAAGCTGAGTCATATGCTGATATAACTTCTTGTCAACTAGTTGATGTTTATGTAGGAATTACTATGTTTTTGGAATAGAGTGGCTTAATTTCTTTAGCTCTTCCTTGGAATAATTGCCCTCTTTTTTTTTTTTCTTTCTCTGATTTTTGTTTTTTGAGATG